TTCATAATCCCGTAAATGCGAAATATTGGCTTTGCAACTCCCGAAGAGATTACTCGAGGTTGAATTTCGCCTGCATTTGCATTTACACAATTCAAAAAAATAACAGAGATGCATTACTCATGCCCCCTTCGGGGAACACGCGAGTTTTCACTTCAATGACGCGCCCCCATGAATCAAAGTACCTACAACTTGGAATAATTAACTTTTTCTACTTGTGCCAGTGCAGAATGAGACTATTTAGTAACAGTTTGAGCGTCAGCACTTGGTGATTGGATTTCGTGGAGCATCTCAACTAATAGCGGTCGAAGTGAACAATAATTTACTCATCAATGAATAGGGGATATCATTGCACATTGGCTGGTAACTGCCAAATTTTGAAATATGCTTGTTCCCGTGAATTTAACCCCAAGTCATATTCACGAGACACGAGCTTTAGAAATCCACGTGTAAACACATTTGCCAATCAACCAGAAATATTTACGCAAATCTTCCTCAGTGTATGACTGGGGGCTTCGGATTATTTTGAAAAACACAACGCTTTTTTTATAGCTCCAGTCATGTGTTTCGATCAAACAGCAGTGGCATGAGAAGGTCGATTCGGAACGCGCTTTTGATTGGCTGATGCCAAAAAACCTTAACTTGGATTCTAGTCTGAGGAGATCTCAGGCTCCTTGAATGCGAGTTGGGATCATGTGAGCGGTGACACTTCAATAGGTACTAAATTTGTTGACTCGAAAGGATTTTCACTTCTCGCTCGTTGGCATCGTTCTCCTGAAAGTCTTACAGGTTCCAATGCCCTGAACCCATTTCATATGAACACCGTTAGAAGAATCGATGCATTTTACTGGTCACTAATCTAAATGACCTTGAATGTTGTAGATGGAACTCAGGTGGTTCAGTAGTAGACGTCGTTGAATCGGTCTAACGACAAATGAGGCAGCAGTTTCCAATGTCTGCTAGGAAAAGAATTAATGAAACCTAGCTTAAATCGCGCGTCAATGTTGGCAGCCCTTAAATTCCAGGTCGGATTTTTGAGGTCATTTTAAACTGGTGTGGTGCATTGTGCCATCAAAATCACTAACCAGCCTTCAATCGTCATTATGAAACCAAATGTTGCATTAGACCCTGCTCCTGCAAATTATTTAATCTAGCACAGAGAGGGCGAGCGTTTAGGCTTCAAAGAACAAATAAAAAATTAACGGTTTCTTGTTGATTTTGGCACAAGCCCTCACCTGAGTTGACTGACTTGCTCTCACTGCTTTACAGGCAGGTGAGTCACCTTAATTAAGAGATAGTTTGAAACCCTAGTGAAGCGATAGCTTTACGATTGACTTGATGCACGCTGTGTGGTTCTCAAGTAGTGACAGTACTGACACGATTGCATAAGGTTAAAACTCGTGTTCTGCCTCGCCCTGCAGGAACCAACATGTCGTTGTAGGCAGGTACCACCGAGTTGATCCACAATCGTTTGGAGTGCAAAAATTCATTGGCTTAAAACACAGCCTTTCCACGCCTATGAATCGAGACTGCTGTAGCTGAGACGGTCTCTCACGTTGGCGAGCTAAAACAGTTTGGGCGTTTGTCTTCACCATCTTGCGTCGATGGTGGTATCCGTGCTTTAAGTAAATCAATTTTGAATGTGCAGAACACGTGTAGGCACAACTTCCCTTTACTATTTACCTACATACTCGGAAATTTGTAAAATTTGACCGGACAGGAACAGGGAATTTCTAATCCCAGTCTGTTCATAGCTTTTTACTAGGATTTGATTGGTTTTCTCGCGAAGGTAACGGGTTTCAGGCGGTCGCAGGTGAACAAGCTCCTTTGGTTTACTTCAAGTCTAATTAGGGAGATCAGATGTTTTCCTGAACCTCCTGTAAACATTCAATTGTGTGTGTGCTTTTGTCTTGGTTCAGTTTCTAATAAATACACACAAAACACCTCAACTCGAAAGTTGTACGCTCGCAGATGTTGCAACGATGATTGAATTGCCCTAATTAAAACTCAATTAGAGTAATTAAACGTGCTTTCGCTTGTGGGGATGGCTAAAGCGGGTTCGTGAAACCCCACAGGTACGGGGATTAGGCCTCGAAATGAATCTGCTTTGATCCGGGAAGCTGCACAGAGCAGGCGTAGGGGAAGTTTCAATTGTAGCTGAGAATAATTGAATTAGCCATGCTTGAATGGGTACAGGTTACTGGTGGTCCATCACAAAGCCATTAAAGCAAGTCAGCCAGAAAGTTGTTGGTACTTAGGAAGAAACGGAAAGGACCTATCCTAATAGCTCACTTCCATCCTATCAGCTTGTGACGTGTATTCGACTCGCCATTCTGTTTTTTATTATAAGAGATAATGTCTCAGCCAGTCACCAAATAAGCGAGATTCAATTACTGGAAATACAACCATAGGACATTAACGAAGTCACGAAGCACAGTGCGTTTGGTCTCATTAGGCCTTTCACCAAACAGGCCCAATGCAACCACACGTTGCAGACCTATGTGCTGAAGGTGTCGGTGAATCGCGCTAAGCATTTTTGAGCGGCACCTCGCACTGGGCCGGCAGTCACCAAGGACGAGAGTTATATCAAACCCGTGACAACTCACACCATGATGTGGGTGCACATGACGTCAACGAGGCGCCGGAAAACATTGGTGTCAGTTTTCACTTTGGACATGCGGGCACGACTGTTGCGCCATGATCGGTTGTAACTTCCAGCGATTGACACAACTATGTTGAGGTGCCTTGCTGTTTAAGCTCACTAAATCCAAGTTACAAGGTACCTCGAACAGTACACGACTTCGCACAAGATGTGAATTCTGTGTGAAGTCGTGGTCGGTGTGGAGTGGTCTTGCACATCGATTTGCAAAGATGGATTCGAACTTGAAATTGACGGGGTAGGAGGACCCTATCTAGCAAGATAGATAGGGCATTGTGTTTAACTCCGGATTTTGGCATATTCCAAAGCCCCCTGCACCATCTTCTCTGGAATCCTGTGACAGTTGACGTCGGTAGCCTGTAGGGTGAGAGAATTTCACAAGTGCTTAGTTGAATGGGACTTGGAACGCACGAACAAGTGCTCTTAAGAACACCACTAGATTAGGACGAATTTATGCGCAATGAGAGAAAGCTGGTAGGAAACAATGTTCCTCCTGTGAGACGTTACGCTGGACTTGCAGCTATTCCTTTTTAATTCCAGGCCTTCACCATGGGCTTGAGCTGACGGCGCGATAATTGCAGATCCCCGAGAAGGGGGAAACACCTCTTTTATCGCACGGAGACCGACAATTCGAAACTCCAAACCTTGTGAATTTTGGAGAAACAGAAAGAGACTAACAAATGGCTGTGCTAAACTAAAGAACTAATGCCTTTTTAAGCTGAAATTTATGACTCCAACATAACAAATACTAGTCAAATATCAGCATTCGATCACACACACACACACACGTTGCGCTAGTTCGTTTAGTTTCATTCCAGGTGTGGCTGTGAAAAGTCATAAACAAAAAAAACTATGTGAATTCATTGTGAGGTCGTAAATTTTAGTATGCCTACTAATCGGTTGGTTTCAATCAACTAGAGTATCAGTTAAGTGGGACGTGTCGGCGAACATTAGTACCACACCCAGGTAAACGGCATGATGGCCAACTCAGCCATATATGGCTCTATTCGCATTTCAGCCACGTGATTCATTTCTTCCATTAAACTCTATCATGCCTAAACAGCAGGTTCAGGGCGGTCAAAGCCTGATAATTTGTCTACGGCGTAATGCATTACTGAATCAACGTAAAGGTCGACATCTGCGGTTGATCGGAGCGGAGCGTCGGACTTCTGAGAAGTTGAAACTTTTGGAGTGTGTGTGGTAGAAGCAAACAATAAAGGCTGTATTAATGCCGTCAGCTTTCATAAGTCACTGCTACCGCACTGCCAGTAGCACGTGAGTCATGAATGGCATCTGAGCGCCTAGAAGGCAACGTAATCACAACTCAGCAGCTAGATCACTGCATTGAAAGACGTTAAGGAATGGATGCTGGCCACGAAACACCCTTCTAATTTCATTAAATAGGGGGACACATCCGACAAGCACCCTAAATCAACTCCCGGGATCGAAAAGAGGGCAGGTCAATGTGCCGATGCTCCTAGCGACCCCTTATCATCTTCGAATCGACAAGAAGGGACCACGGCTACCAAGGTCGTGACAACCACCCCTCTTGATTTTAGGAAAAAAACCATAGTGACAAGGATATGGTTGTACGACGTCAAGGTTGTGCATTAGGAGACGTACGGAACCCTACTCCAGCCCCGAAATTGTAGCACAACTCAGTTAATACAACCACAATATTACAATGCGCATACACTCGCTTCCACTTTATTCAATAATCTCGATGCTCGGCGCAATTAGGTATGGTTAGAACACACAGCTCTGCAACTGTCGTTTCACTTTTATCCAAAAAACTGTATTTCCTAAACGATTTCCTCACGCATCACAGCAGTGATGGTGACGCACATAGCGTAAGAAAAACTCCAAAAGGAGGGATAAGATGGCAATGGAGGAAGAAGCTGGCAAACAGGGGAAGAGAAATCACGTGTACACACTCTCCGGGCCGCGGACACAGAGCACTGCCACCTGCTGGACAGGAAGCAAGCCCTCTGGGCTAGGAGCTAGTCACGGAGAGTTAAAGAGATGCCTTGTGTGTGTGTGTGTGTGTGTGTGTGTGTGTAAGTGCGTGGTGAAGTGTGTGTGTGTGTGTGTATCAAAATAAAAGATGAAAGATCTTGGGATAAGAGAAGAAAATGAAGAGAAGATAAGAAAACGCCTAAGTTTTCTTTCACTCTTTGGTCAGCTGTACATAGGTAAGATATTTACTCGTATACCCAATAATGCGTTCCTAAAGTATCGCAATTAGTTGTCTCTGGGGAGGTGGTGGGTGGAGGTGGGGGTGCAGGGGCCCCGATAATTCCCTGATTTTCGCCTCTCACAAGGCCGAGAGGAACGCAATAGGTGCCTACATGTCTGCAACAGAAAGATTGGCCATTTGTGTCTCCAGAGGTATGACAGCTGCTCCGTTGGCGGATGACTGGTGCTCGGGGGCGACCGAGTTAACCCCCTCGACATCCTTCACTCCGTGACCGTTTTGAGGAGCTCGCTGATGAACACCATTGAGGTGAGGTTTGGAAGGACGCGATTTCAAGGCAGAAGGGACCGAGGACTGGGGTGGCATGCCAGTTCCGTAGAAGAGGGGACGCGACAGGGCGGAAGTGGGGTCATTGAAAATGCCCTCCGTAGAGGTGTTCTGATAAAAAGTGGGGTTTATTGGCTGCTGTTGCTGGCGGTACGGATATCCTAAAGCGTAGGAGGCAGTGATGAGTGTCACGGAAAACAAAGGTTTATATTTCATGCATAGCGCACGAGTTATTGCGTGTTAGTTCTACATTCGTGTTCACAGAGCGTTTAAAAACGTGCTTTAGGAAATGAAACGTGTACTGTACGGTACAGATAAGGGGGGAGGGTGGTTAAATTCAGATATCATCTGAGAAAAATGACAAGCAGACACCTGCACAGATTCCGCGCAAATACCAGGCGCCATAATAATATGCACACGTTCAGGTTAATCCGCTTAATCGCGTTATCAAATCAAGCGATTAAAGATTAGCGACAAAGGCTTGAACTTTAATTCTCGAAAGGCCTAAGTAAAGCTACAGCAACTACAGGGAAGTCACGGTGATCACTTAATTATCAGCACAATGTGCGCACTGGTGGGAATTAACCAGTGAATATTGGAACAGATTAACTCCCTTTAATTCAGACGTACACACACTACGTATAGGTAAAGAAAATTTACCCATATCTCCCGCCGGGCCAGTAGGATACGACGCAGCTGGTGCGGTGAGAAAGGGCATTTGGTTGGCTGTTACTATAGCAGCCATGAAGTCATTCATAGCCGTTGCCTGATTGGCGCCCTGGTTGACAGTTCCGTTGGTCCCAGTTGACGAGGGCTGAGCGTCAGGAGCAGATGCGGACGCCGGAGCTGGTTGGTAGTAATATCCAGGGGTGGCCTGGTAGTAAAAGTGTTGCGGTGCAGCAGCCGAATGATAGGAAAAGGGGAAGGTCAGATAGGGGTGAGTCGGGGCGGGCTGAGGTGGATTTCTTGGTGGAGCCGTTGCCACAGTGGTTTGGGGTCGCGTCCCAGAAGAGTCGTACCACGGAGCATCAGTTCTAGCCACTGATGGCTGATTGAAGAGTTTTTCAGCAGCCTGCTGCTCGTAGCTAGTGCGAAAAGATCTATTGACCGCATGATGCGGCTGCTGCCATGCAAAATGGTTTTGAAGAGCTGGTTGCTGGCTCAAACTGTTGTAGTAGAATAAATTAAGCATAGCCTGCTGAAAATCAGCCAAGGTCAGTTGCGGAGCTGTCTGAGCCATTGCTTTAAAAAGCAAAAAAGATAATATGAGTTCACAAAATTAGTTGATGATTTTTGCCAAAACCGATTTATACCTCTTTGCCGCATAGAAACCTCTCGCGGTACGGCCACTCTGACATCGCACTTAAAATAACAAAAAGAAGGTCAGATGAAAGAAGCACACCGCATTAGAGCTCTATTAAAAAACTTACGCTTTTGCCATTAATCTCTTGTCTCTCTATGGAAGCGGCTCTTTTTGCTTCATATTCAGAAGAGAACACTACAAATGCATAACTTCTACGTCTATTTCTGGTGTTGTCGAATGGCGTTTCCACTGCTTCGACTTTTCCAAATTTACTAAAGTGCTCCTCAATTTCCTCCGGCGTCACCTCTGGGTCCAAGCCACCAACAAACACCTTGCGTTGCGTGTCTTTCGGACATTTTGCTGGCTTGGGGTCAATTTTCTTTCCATTAACAATGTGTTCAGAGATACTTAAAACCTAGAAAGACACGTAAACCTAATGTAAGACCTAACCTTCTTTACAGTCTCATCACTTTTGAAAACAATGAAACCGAAGCCCCGAGATTGCCCGGTATCGCGAGAAACTTTAACAGCACATGACACTATTTCTCCGAATTTAGAAAAATAATCCATCAGGTTCTCTAAATAATCAATGTAAAAACTCATAAATAAAGCGTACGTTCAGTCGTCTCTGGAGTCAAAGCTCCAACGAAAATTTTCTTATTGGGACGAGGACTACAAGGAAAGTTAGTCTCCGGTCGGTTGTCTTCACAGCTGTCTGGCGTTGGTGGAGAACAAGACTTTTCGACGCCATTTTCCTCGCAACTTGGAGGCCTTTCCACGTTCTTATCCACGCTTACAGAGTTATCCTGAGACATGCTACCAAAAAACGACCTAAGATGCGCTACACAGAAAACCGCCCGAACCGCTTACTAAAAACGAGGTCAAAGTAATGCTTGTCCACTGATATAAACAAGATGAGCTAATTATAAAATGCGTAAAATTTAAATTAAGACAAATATTTTAAGACTTTATTAATTCAGTATTTATTTCGCAAACATATATACAGATACTGTTCCACTAATGTCGTACACATTTAGCACGAAAATTTAGGAAAATATTAGAATATATATAAATTTAAGTTGCATCTAGTCAGATGGTAACGAGCAACAATAGTGCACCAAAATAACAAATTGTTTTGAATACTGTTTCTGATTTTTCAGACAATTTTCTTACTGTAGTGATTTAACAATTTTCGTTTAATCACAGCTCCTTTTAATTCGAACTACAGGAATGCAAAAAAACTATGAAGAATTATAAATTAATGGCTACTAGTTTTAGCAGACATCAAAAGAGCTATTTACGGCTTAAAATATAGGCTACTAAATCAAAATAATTTCGACTTTTTAAAAGACAGTGTTTTAATTTCTTTTATTGACGATGTAAAACAAGGACTACACACCTCGAATGCGTATGTATAATCCTATCCAAAAAAATTACCTTGCAAACATTATTCGACCTTCGTTACGCTAATAGTGCCAAATTAAATGAAATCACCTAGATTTATAAGCAATCCATTATTAAAGTGCCTTGTTTCACTCACTGATTTGCACTGTGTTTAGACCATGAATAATACACAAACTGCAGCTCTACCTATACACAATGTTTAATATATAGAAACTCAAACTGCGTGCAGCTGTCTACACAAAAGTACTATTGCTTGAGCTGGTATATAAAATGCTGCCTATAAAAGGGTGAACATGTAGGGGAGCTTTAGGGTTATGAATGCAAAACTAGCCATAAAAAATTACGGTTAGATGAGGAAAAAATTTATCATCATATTATGTAATGAATTATAGTAATTCTTCTCTCTGTAAACCGTCGCCGAGTACTTCGATACGTAGTGTCAACATTCAGAACCACCTGGTTATACACTCTGGACATTACAGCATGTCACATTGATATGATTGAAGACCAAAGTATTGCTATGGTGTTACCCATATTTGAATTCCTGCATACTTAAAGTTAATGAAGATTCTATTTGGCTTAAATGGAGTGGTTATTCTATGTATTAATCCCTACTAATATTCTTATCCATTAGGCTTTACTTCTGTCCTTTAAAACTACATAAGCAAGAGTTAAATCTAAGTCTCGAATCTCAGCACAATTATTCAATCATCGTGTCATTTCCGCCAAACGTGATTATCTTTCATTACCCATCTCATGTTATCATAACCATCATAATAAAATCCCACACTTTTAAACCTTGGAATATGCATCCAATCATTTTCCGATGACGACACATCGATTGCGACGACTAATAGTTTCTAGAAAACATGTTTATTGAAAAGTGACTAAAAATAGAGGTCGCAATCTACAAATCTGAATTTTTTCGATTGGTTTTTATCAACGTCTGACGATGAAAATCATTTAAAGTTATTTCTTTAATTGCCATTGGCTCTTTTTGAAAACCTAAATATCTCCTCTGAAACCTGGGCATATTACTTGACTCAAGCCATGGCCTAATCTGTCCACATCAAATTTTGGCACCTGTTTAGCAAATACTTGCAATCTATTCTCGTGAGCCTTAGACCGCTCACCAGCACCCAAAATGATGACATAACCATGAATACTTTAAAACATTAATAATGTGCCACGTGTCTTTTTGTGGGACTAACCTGTCAGTAAAATTTGCTAAAAAAAATTATCATCGAAGGCACCTCATCTTAAGCCCCTCTTGACTGTTTCTAAATGCATCAAGCATTTCAGCAGTCTTCCGAGGAAAACATTCAACTAGCCTCAACATACTTGTATCCAATCAACACGATATCCGCATATCAGGTGCAAGAAATCTACGGTTTACCCTTCTGTATTATAATTGAAAAATGACATTTAGTTCATTAGGCAAATAGGAATGATAAATTCAATTAACACTTTTGATGCCAACCCGTTTTGACAGCCTGCCTATCAGTCATTCGGATCCATTAGCTCGAACACCATTTTGCATGCGCTCCACTTGCCATTCATTTAGGCCGTCTGTCATCGAGGCATTGGTCAACAGAGTGTTTTATTTAAAAAAGCGTACAACAGCCGAATTAGCAATGCACGATTTTGATTGCATCCATGCCTCAGAATAAATATGTTCAGTTATTAAATAAACGGTTGTCGACACCTTCTTTGGTCTTCTTGATCTAACCTAAATTTGAATAAACAACTAGCGCCCACGAGTGATTATTTGTGAAGAAACGTAGGTCTGCGTTTGAGCGACCGAAGTGAATTAAAATTGCTTGTCATTAACCCACGCCTTTTTTAAAAAAACACTGAGGCAGTTGTTTACTGATAAAATATAATAGAACTTATGCATTAATAATTATACTTGTAAGAACCATGTCGTCATCGCAGTAAACAATCAGGACCACTGCAAATAATTTTCCCTGATGCAGAATATCGACCTTATTTTTGAAGTGGAAAATTTCCAAATGGTTCAATCAAAAAACTCCAGAATCAAATCGTTTGTTTCCAAATCATGTTTATTCCTTAATTTAGACCTTAACTAGTTTACATTTTTCCATTACAATTTAATGAGGTTTATTATCGCTTAGATTGCAGTGCGATGCCGATAATTTAAAATTAGCATAAGAATAAAATACAGCATGCAAATGTTGCCATTGCAAACGAAGCTGTGGATTTTAGGGTTAAAGTTAAAAGAAGCCTAACACGTTTTTTTGCCAAATAATGCAAGAGTTAGAAGCGGTCAATGAAGATAATAGTTTTGGTAGCGCCGCTTCCAAGTGCACCAATGAATTGGAAGGTCGGGTCTTGGACTTTCTCCGTGCTCATCTGGCACAGGATGTTTTTGTTTCTCTCATTGGTCACCTTTATGTTTATTTTTACACCTGTATCTGCTGTAGAAGTATGACCATTAAAAGTCAACTTTAGTTTGTAGACAGGACAGGAGTCTCTGTTGATTTTTACGCTTGACGGCAAGTTTACTTTAGTGGACAGACACAATGGAGCTGTCCTTTGGACTTATGACTCAGGTCTGGTCAGCGATAGCATCTATATGGGAGAGTAAGCACTAGTTGTCTTGTTGCGTATTGATTATAACAGAGTTTTCTTTGTCCCTGAACTGCAGGGTGGTAATTTATACGAGTATTCCAGCAATCCATCTGGTGATATACTCTACAAAGTCAACAGCTCAATTTTTGAACTGGTTGCAAGATCCCCAGAAACATTAAATTCGTTTTACACAACAGGTAAGCCAAAATCGTGGATATTATATGGTGACGAATACACCATTTAAATTATTTTTAGGCTTGACTGGTATTCCGCATTTTTATTGTGTGAGTATCCACTTGTACATTTATTACACTAGTCTTACGTATTGTTCTTACGTTAAGGATACAAATCTGATCACTGGCTCCAACTGGATTTGGACACTGGAAAGCTACTCAAGAGCGCTAGGTGTTTATCACCCTATCAATGCTATTCCTCAAGTGAGAAAGATGAAGGTGATACCGAAGAACACCGCCTACGAAGACGTGTTTTGGCCATTGGAATTTCAGAGTATCATTTCATGCTTTGGGATCTCGCCAGTGGAGTTGCTAGGTAAGTAAACCTTTTGCATCAGTTTTTACGTCCATTTTACAAGTTCTGTAAGTCTTTCATTTGCGTCGTCTATCTTTGGCATTTGGCTATAAACATATTAGGTTTTTGCGTACTAATTTATCTAGCGAATTTGACAGTAGCATATATTTTATGTTCTGACAATCGGCTACTAAGTTCTCTTTCAGTGTTGCCAATTTCATTCACTGGCTGATAAAATCTGTGCATACTTTTTTAGGTAGCATGTGGCATTTATCTGCGTTTTAACCAAGTCTGCCACCAAAATTAAATATTTTTTGTTAAAAGTGTGTTAAAAGTTCTCATTAGACCCAAATTTGTTAGGCTATTCATGTAAAAGCTACATTAAATCAGTGGGAAGGTGTGTCCTTTTGTAAGCAGACACGTGTTGCTAGTTTAACCTGTAAACCTCATTCTCAACTACTGATTAGGATAAATTAATAAATACCTGAAGTCGCGCCTTGTGATTTTCTGCTATTTTCAGACTTGACCTCTTTGTCATGCCAGAATCGATATCTGTAGATTTGTTTTTACCGCTTCTAGGCTTAACATGACCCATCAAACCATTCCGTCTCAATTGGAGCCAGATCTCCAAACATCAAGTACGCAACAATTTTCTTTTACATCTTTTCCCACATGGTGACCACTTGCGTTTTATTCGTTTAAAGCACTTCAAAATAACCTAGCCTTTTTGCCTTGGTTTTTTAGAAATCACTCATGTTGCAACACTAGAGCCGTCTCTTGTTACCTTCGAGGGATGCAAGTGTAAGTGCAGCAAATCTGCCAATCACTTTTCGCCATTAAATTTGCGCCATTTGCTGCTCTTTGCCTGTCGAACCGCCCAACTAGCTAGTAGGTCTAGATGATCTTAACTATGTGCTGTTTAGCCTGTTTACGGTGCTTCTAAACCATGTAACGCCTGATCTGAGTTGCATGCTCACTGGTGAAATCGATCGACAGCTTACCTCCAATGCCGTGTCTGGGTCCAGCCTGGGCTAGGAACTCAAAAAGAGGCTTCACGTCGTGCTCACGTGTCATAGAAAATTAATTATTCGATTAGGCAACATTAGTTCACGCGTAAAGAGGTTGACGAGTTCTCCTACATTGGCTTGGTTGGGGCGCGTTGCAGAGCTTACCAAGCCATCATTTTTTATGGATGTCTATTTTTGGTGATGTTTGTGACCACGTTCAGCCGACGGGAAACAGGTCCTAGGTATAAACTGAGGCATTTTATATCCTAATTAGTCTTTAAACTCGGAACAAGGCATCCAATGCTAGTCATTATTGGGTGCTATAAGTTAGCTCCAGTCAAATCCGTTTAAGCTTCACGTTATTAATAAGGGGTCACTTTCTAATGCAACCTCCCTAATTGCTTTTATCGTCACGCATTTCCCTTTAATAAAAGAACTTTGCTGTTTGTCATGACTCTTTTTGGGGCGTTTCCTAACTTTTACCGGCATGTTTGCGCTTTCTCTTTCACGCTTATCCTCATTTATGGGCTAGGCCTCTCCTTTAAGCCACGTTTTTGCTCATTTGAAAGGAACCAAACGTGGCTGCAACGTGCTTATAGCAAAAAACATGGCTTCCAGTGAATTGGCTCATGCGCATTTTAAGTAAAATGCATTGAAATGAACTGCATGGGACAGAATCGATATTAGGAACATGCTAGCACCATGAAAACAGAGCCCCTTTTTCCATCTTTCCACGGTTTTTAACCCATGACCAGAAGTTAGAACTCTGGAAGACAAAAGATACCACAGTCAGTGAATGTGCGGAGTTGGTGCTAATAGAGGGAAACTTCTCACCCGCCCTAACCGATTCCTGGTTGTGGTTTGCCCCTAGCACCTAATTGTACATTTTTACGGTGTCTGGAAGCCCCCGCCAACTTCTAAGATGCTCCAATGCTGTGCCTTTTCATTCACCTTGTGAACGGAATTAAAGCCCACACTTAACCAATGAATGCTAACTTCACCTGATCGGCTCTCTACTGTGATTGTGTTGGTTAACTGCTGATTGCTATCGCATCACCATATCTCGTGTTCTGTGATTGTCGGTTTTGTTTCACCTCCAATCCTTGTGTTACTCACTGCTAATTGCCCATTGGTTCACTCCTGACCCCACTAAGATCAAGCCTCGTGCTTGGCTTTTTCTTTCTGGTTCGATTGATGGCAAGGAACGTGATCGCTACGTTAATTTTAACACTGCTGAACTTCAAAACGGTCATTAGAGATGTGGCTTGCCATTGGTCGGTTTTACCAATATCGGTAGAACAAAATGCCTTGCATTTTTTTGAAGATCCCCTGCTCCTTTTCACACAGAGGAATGTTTTTTTCCGAAATGCGAAAAACACTTACGACTTATGAGAAAAAACGTCAAAACGTGTTCTGAGTGTATTCCACAATCCCATCCGTGTGGAAACATGTTATGTATATTAACCTGATAGTGAATTATCGCATATTCCTCGTGCTTCATCAATAAACCTAGGTTCGAGTTAACCCCTAGAGAATGACTTTGGCTGCGTCGTTCACGGGGGTTGTCAGAATCGGTACCACAATTCACCAATGTCGGCGTGTTGTGTTTAGTAGCTCCTCCTGGGTTGTGCGTTGAACCACCGCCCTGGCTGTTGGTGGAACCTGTTTGTGTTGACGTGGCATTCTGCATGCCATACATCAACCTGAACTTCATCGAACATATCATCCATATTCAGCACAGAAATCGACGAGTCTGTTACCTGTTCCATCTCAACCTGATGACAAATCATCGTCTTAAATGAACCTGCTTTACTTGTGGACATCGGAGTTTGATCTCAGACGGTCTCATTACTTGGAGTTGTTTTGGCACCACGACCTTTCGGAGCGTGAATAATTTGAATGACCGTTATTACGTCAGTGGTGTGTGGTGTTTCGATCCGCTTGTTTTGGAAATTTCTGATTTCTTCACAATTTCTGTTTAATGAGATTTCACGCGACATCATTTGTAGTTTGTCTGTTTATCCTACTGGCCGAGGCTACACGCAGAACTCGTCACTAGTTTTCACAAAGCAAACAAACTCTACTGTGGACCATGATGATTTCTGCCTTGGGTTCACCTGCAGTAGGATTTGTTGAGGTCTCCATTCGGGACTCGAACCCAAACCGGCTCAACTAACCAAGCGAGGTTAATTCGAGAACCACACCGCAGCCAGACGACCCACACTGACATGGCCCCACCAGAAAAGGCGAACAAGGCAGCAGATGACACGGAGCTCAACCGATTTATTTTTAGAGTAATAGTGTGGTTGTACAGGGTGTGTCAGCTTGTACGAGCTAAGGCGTCAGCTTATACACATATTACAGTTCGACATCGCTCTCTAAACGAACATCGCGACGTGAAGTGCACTCGAGATGGCTAATTGGATCCGTGCTTGCTCATACTCGCTAAAATTGTTCGCTCGCGTGAGAGTCGGTGGTAGGATGGAGAACTGTGTTTAGAGGTGTCAAGACGACTCTATTGATTCTGTCATTGTCACCGATTCTAACTCACTCGCATCCCTTCAAGGTGCCACGTTTTCAACAATGAAGAGGTACCAAGCCTGGAATGCATTGCTTCCCGTTGTATAAAGCAGTCGAAATTTCGTGTGACTTCATAAGGCTCCAGCAACACATCATCCGTCCCAATTAGAGCCCTTTTCTCTCAAGCACTCAATTAGGTTGCCAAGGCAATAGCATTTATGCCTCCCGGTAGCCTGTGTTATCGCGTCTGTCTCACTCACGCAGTTGCGTTTCTGGAGCGCTGTGTAAACAACATTTGCCACGTCGCAAGTTGCCTTGTGCAAGCTGCCTCAGCCGAACCTATTATGCCTCTTGCCTCTCTCGCAAACCTGTCATCGGTGAACAGACTCTACCATGGAAACAGGCAATGCAAAAGTTTGAGTTCGTTTCACGTAAATGCATGCAATATTACCTGCCAGTGATTAAAACCGCGTGTGCATCTGTGTTGTCTGAGGGAAGGCGATCGGTGTTGTGTACGCACGCGGGGAAGCAAGCCTCTCGTTACTGCTGCTATGCTGTTTTGATATTTTTTTCCCCTATTTAATTTGACGAGGTGAACATGCCATCGTCTAATCGCCTCTAGTTGATTTCGCAAGTACTGATGTGCGGTTTCGGAATAATGTCGTAATCCTGCCTAATTAGTCGTGGTGGATTGAGTTACCCAAACAATAAGGCAGCACTCAATGTGAGAAATATGACTATATCAGGGCGGTTCGGCTAAGTCTTTTGGGAAATATCTAGCGAGTTTCTATGTCTCACTTCGTGCAAACTATGCATAGCAGAATGCGGGTGAGCAAGTTACCCTAATCGGTTGGTTTGATTCCACATGCTTCCGAGCTACAGACTTCAAGGTGCTTGCACAAACAGCTGCTCTTTGGTCGCATAACAGGGTCAAACTATAAGGTCGAAATATCACCGAATTCCCTGCTTGTTTACCTTGAAACCGACGTTATTTCTGATTCATCTCAACCACGTGACTCCGAGGGGAGGGTCAACTACTGCAGCAAATGATGAAACGGCTGACGATTTGAGGGTTCTAGGTATAAAAAGGCCTTCAGATTACGAATGGTGGGGCTGCTAGTGTCTAGCGGAAATCGTGGCTTTGAGTATGCCCACGGCACGGTGAGAGAGCTTAAAACGAGCTCTAAAGCCACTGGCGCAGTGGAGTCTGTTTAGTGCTGATTTTCGGGCTCAGAGGGTACAATTCCATTGATTTCCTAGCCTATTCGTAGAAAACCACTAGCCCGACGTAAGTAGGGCTCAAACAGAGCCTGGTAGTCTGCGCTGTGAAGTTATTCCCGTCGCGGTAATTCCCAGTCTACGTGGTTAACATCTGACAGCTTTATTTTACACCATTATTCGCCCGCATTTTCACAATCCATGGCATCAGGTTTCCTCGTAGAGCGTTTAAAGATTACCTACTTGGGTAGGTTGTTTGTGTTTGGAATGCTAACCATTTCGCTAAATTCAAGTGTGTAATTTGTGGAAACAGTTTCACCTGCTTTCTACTTCAGTTCTCTGGCACCTTCGACTGTCCTCCCCAATTGTGGATCTCTTCTCCGTTCAGCCTCCTCCTCCTCCTCCTGCTTCATTCGAGGAGAAGGTGACTTCCACCCCACCGGGTCAGGACGCGTCTTCCCCCTCCACCAACGACTTCCTTCCAGTGCCCTCGAGACGAGGCGCGGACTACGTCGGATCGTCCCACCGTCTCAGGCGAATAATCTTCACAACCTACGCTCTCGTTCTGAATGCGTCATACTCCCTTCCGCACTATCCGACTCAGTCAGCGCTTTGGGAGGAAAAGTTCAGCCAGCAAAATGAGTTCGTGTAGGTTGCCTTATTGCTGCTTCTCTTGTGTGTGTGAGTCCCCATGTGTTGTCAACGGTTTCGTCAAGCGTGCTTCCTAACCAGAAGCGTAGTGTTTGCCGTGTCCATTACTAGGTAGACTCTCAGCCCAGACGACGACGACGACGTTAACAACGGTTGTACTGCCGGAGTAGTGACTCTGACAATGCTCTCAGGCCCCAATGGGGTTAAATACAAAGCCCGGAACATTCTAGCATCGTGCAATGTGATTGGTCTATTTCAGCATGCAGAATATCTATCCTATTCTTATCGGTCCGCTGTTGGCATGCAATACGCAGGCGCCGTTTCACCCTTATGGTGGATTTGACTGGCGCGTGCGTTCTTACGGGTCCTTTTTAAAAGTAATTAACTCCCTCTTCCCGCTGATTTCTTTGCTAGACCATCACTCTACCTGGGTGAATCGAGGTCACCCCCTATCTACGTTATCCACACCCTCGCCGAAGTTGGTCTGAAACCGCGGCACGTGCATCGCATCGCCGAGCACCACCGTCTGGGCTACAAGTCGCCAGGCGCCTCGGCGACGTCCGACCTCACCACCGTAGTTCGATCGGACAGCGACAATCACGGTGTTACGTTTTGGCCGAAAAGTCTTTTCGGCCTGTATCACCTCTCACCCGAGTCCCCTCGTGTTAATCCCGCCTGGTCCCCACCATCCCCTCACCCCGTCTTTCAGCTCACCGACCAGTCACGCAGGTGCGGACTCTCTCATCAATTTGTCGAGTGTAGTTCAGAGCCACAGCCTCTAACATTCCCGTCCTGTCGTCGTTTTTACTCAGTAGGCTTGACGCAAGCTCCGCAACCATCATTTTTTGTGTTCTGTGCGTCGTACAGTAGCGCCAATTTGCGTTTCATTGGCGAATTGGCATTGCATGGGCTTTTCCCCTCTTCGACGACAAATTTGACGCTGCGGTTGCACTGTTTAACAGGACTTTTTGTAAACTACCTTCACTCCTTCTTGCAGCACAGGCCAGTTGATTGTCCAGCCGATCCACAGTCCGGATTTCTTATTCACGTCCACTCCAACAAAGTCCAGGACCCTCCAGCTCAGCCTGCTCGGCACCGCCATGCTGACTGTCTTCCTCGCCTTGACAATCGCCTTTCTCCTGCACAACCGTGCGCACAGTCGTCACGGTCACCAGGTGGGCCGTCTCTTCAACGTCCTCTTCCTTGTTGTTTGCCTGTAGCTAAGCGGCTGAATGCATCACGTGGTTTCAAAGATTTCCGTCTGGAAGTAGGTTTGCTGAGCAGACGTGTCTGAGGCTCTTCACGACACTGTCACCACCGAGCTTGAGCTCCTGTTGTTGATGGACCTCGAGATCATAGTTCTCTATGCCCTCACCTTATTCCCTGGTTGTACTTGTAGACTTCTTTGTCGTTCTCTAATGTGATTACCACGGGAAGTTGCGTCCCTGGTTTTCGTAGTGTTGACGTCCGGCCGAAATGACTATTAAAACGGCAAGGTTGCACCACAACAAATTGAACGATATTTCTACCTATTACGCAGTTGAGATGTTTTGGGGAGCAATAATCGATTACTTTACTTGGAGACAATAAGCCTTACAGGATCATCCACTTAATGCTGTTCCTCCCCATAAATAATCACCCTAGCCTGAACACTTGCAAAGGAGACCCCAACGCAGCTGATACTCATCGGCTCGTCGGTGCATGTGTGAAAGCAGTAATTGACTTTCTTTTCCCACTAACCACTGATTCAGATCCCTAAGCCGAATCGGTAACTCGATTCCTTACTCAAATGGTAACTGTCATGTTTCATTTTTACGTAAAGCTGAATCTATTACTGGTGGTAGTGGGATAACAGTTTGCTTACTTCGGGTTTTGCAGTCCTCGTGGGACCACGCATCCCCCATGTTGCACCCCTCGTTTGATCGAGCCGGTGAGGACGGCTGGGCGGGCCACCCTGTCCCAGGGGGGGACCCGTTGGGTGCCGGCTCCAACCCCGAGGTGGTTCGTTTCAACATTCACCGTGTCCTCGGCCTCGGCGCGAACGGCACCGTTGTCTTCGAGTAAGTTGTTTTTCCAACAGACGCATTCTGGGTTTGTGTGTTGTGCGTCGATGGCGTTTCGGCAAGTTGTCGTTCATCGTCGTGGCTACTGGGAGGGGTTCGGAGCGAACTCGGATCAAGGCCTTCAGCATACTTTGACGTGGTAACCCTGAGTCTGGTTTCTTTTAAACGCTTGGTGAGCTGCCGGCTAATTGGAAAGAGCTTTGACCCCTCGGTCACTCGAGGCGATGCCGAAGATGCAGAATTCCAGGTGTACCTTAGGCCGAACCGAACAACCCTTACGTCAGGCATGTAACCAATGCAATTTGCAGCCTCGTTGCTTCACAGATGCAACTAACCTGATAGGAGAGTCCTCAACGCCGACAGTTTGATGGTGCCTCCATTTTAATACCGTAGCTCATCCGTCGTCTGTTAACGCAAATGAGCCAAATTAAGACCCAAGATAAGCGATGGCGCCTTTGTTGTGGACTTTTGTGGGTACCTTTCTCAGGCACCGTGGAGGTTCAGGTTGTATCCAGCCCAAAACCGCTAGACGTGCAGTGGTACGTTCTTCTGCTCTTTTAGCGGAACTTATGGCTTGCAGCCGGTGGCCGTCAAGAGGATTATGCGTCGCGCCGAGTTGGAGAGGAGTTGGCTGCGCGAGCACAGGATTCTCATGAACCACCACCACGAGCACCTCATTCGCTGCTTCTGGACGGTACCTCCTCTTTCCTTTTGTTGCCCTTTTCTATCGTCGGTTCGGTGACCATCGAGGTGTGTTGATCTACACCTCCTCTAGCCGAAATGACATTCACGTGGTTTGCTTGTCTCACGGTGGGAGCGGAGGCATGCGAGCCGCTTGGCGTTGGTCGTGGCCATCAACGGCCAGGGACACCTTTCTTTTTGTTTTTCCCAACGTCTAACATGACGAAGTCGTGTTTTCGTTGTCAAAACCATTTTTATGCCAAAAGTCCTGATCAGGTTGTGGTTTGTTGCGCGTTTTTGTAGCATCACGTGCAAGCAGCATCTGCCTCGTTGTATTAGGCCCACGTGGGACCATTGTTTTCGTTGCGAAGACACTCTCCGATACCGTTAAATGCAAACAAAACAACGCCATAATGAAGGACTAATCGTGCACTCTTAAAGTTACTGGTTTATGAGAATCTTGTGTTTTGTGTAATTACCTAACTGCTGTGTTCGGCATTTAGGGTAGCTCGCCGCACTTCCACTACCTCGTCCTGCAGCGGTGTGCAACCAGCCTCCTCGAAGCTCTCGACTCCGAGTTGAGTCGCGAGGGCGCCAACACGAACCCCCTGAGGCGGTTCGGTCTGGCGCCGGTGCAATGCGTCCACCAGCTGCTCAACGCGGTGACCTTCTTGCACTCGAAGTCTGTCGGTGCGTGGGTATTCCTCACCTAACCACTTACCTCGCTGGTGTTTTCCAACTTGATCTCGAACTTGTCGGCCTGCCAACGAGCCGAGACACCTTCGCTGTCAGCCTACCAGGCGTCCTGTCTTGTTGACCTCTCATTTAATTACCCGACGTCCTATGAGTTTTGCCAAAATCCGCTCTATGCTCCAGAGATTTGCGAGGCAGACTCACTTTAGATGGGGTAGATCCCAACTTTCTCGATAAGGGCATTACTTCAGTCAGGTGTCTTTGAATCTGCGTGGAAAGTTATAGTCTGTTGTGTAGAAACTAAAGAAAACACCAGCATTGCCAGCTGCTGTGAGGATGGTGAAGGGTGTTGATGTGAAAGCTCTTCAGATTACTTTTCCCGTATCGCAAGCTAGCAATGTGGTGGAAATCACATCCTCGTATCTCACAACTGACGCCGTTTTCGTACCTGCAGGACGGCTTCCCTCAATCCGAAAATCGCCACCGCTTCGATTAGGCCTTACTAATATTTCTTGACTTGCTAAGATGTGTGTTTAGTTGGACCCAATTCCTAGGGGATGACTCTGCATGACCTAGAACCATCTTTTTGGTTGAGGGGTCTGGTGAGGAATAGCCTGCATTTTCTCGCACCAATGTTGGTAATGGGCTTGCATTTGCGGCCAAGCTGCGTTGCCCGAATTTCGATTAATTATAGTGGGTGTGTAGAGTTGCATGGACAGCAGTTTTCTTCATCGGAGTTCGAGCCTGCAACCCATTGGAGTCGAGACAGGATCGTGGACTGTGTAGGTTGGTGCGTGCGCTTGAATCGCGTGGATGGTTGTCAGGCGTTACTTGTGGGCATCGTGTCCCTTGATTCATGCCAGATATAAGTGGCTTTCTTAATACGATCATTCGTGCTATTGCTTACACACACCAGTCATGCGTAGTAGGCTTGTGACTTCATTTGTACAGATCTTTCAGCAAACTTATTTAGTATAGAAAAAATAAAGAACAACGAACCTAATCTTGGAAGTATTGACCATCATCTTCTATGAGCTTGCGCCATCTCACACGTAACGTACGAATGCCGTCGCGAAAGAAACTTGTAGACTACGAGGCAATAAAGTCATCGATGAATTAAGCCATATTGTCCAGCGTTTTAAACTGTCCATTCGCTAAGACGCGCTGCTGCATTGATCGGAACAAATGCCAGCCGGATTGGGCCAAGTCTGGTAAATAAACCGCCTGTGGAAGAACTTACCATCCCAAGTCCAAGATGGTCTTCTGAGTCGCACAAGCAGCTTGAGGTGGCCAAGCGTTGTCATGCAGCAACAGTATGATCTGCCTGCTTCCTTGCCCAAGAAATGGCCTTTTCCGATCAAGGTCTTCGCTCAGTTTGTTCAATTGTACAAATTTTATTCCCGTACTTTAGAGATATTTTTTTCCTCATTGGAATTCATATAAAATGCAGTGCCATCGAGTGTGCTGTTTAACAGTTGCCATCGTAAACTTTGCTATTCTGTGAAGTTATGTAACTCACGAAGATTTGTCGTTCGGAGTTCTGAAACCATGCATGCGATTCTTTAGCCGCCACAAAAGACCGCCGAAATATTTCTAATTTAAAAATGACTTTAAGCCCGAAGAAAACGTCCGTACAAATAAAGTCATACATCCAGATAGGTTGAATGGCCGCCCCGTTTTTAAGGTGTGAAGCATGCTTACTCTAAGCCAAGCGTTGCTCCTTCTGCCCCTCACAGTTCATCGCGACATCAAACCCGGAAACATTTTCATCCTCGAGTCCACCTACTCCTCTTCCTCCTCGTCCAACGCCTCTCCCTCGAACCGTCTGGTGCTGGGCGATTTCGGGCTTTCCTTGCCACTGGACGACGGGAGGCTCACAGACTCGGCCTCTGCGGAGAAGGAGAAGCGCACTGCAACGCACGAGACATTTCCGTTCGGCAGTCTCGGCTGGATGGCACCGGAGATGTGCGCTCACGGCAAGGAGGCGGTGGTGAGAATTTGTCAATTTGCCAGTTGTTTGAAGCAGCGTTAGTGTGCATTGGAGCGGTGCGAAAGGCTTTGTGTGCATTTTCGATGGATTCAAAGATTTCTCATTAACGTCGTAGAGGCTTCGACCACTACGTGACGTAGGGGAGCGATGAAGTATCGAGCGTTTATAAACTGGCTAACATGACCGAACGAATCTGTTGGTCCGATAATTGTCTATAGTTGTGACCCTGGGGTCGTAGCCACAGTACGTTTGCTGTCTACATATCTATGTCGCGACATCAGGAATTCGAGTGCTCATCGTCGAATGCATTGACGGAGCATTTCGCTTATCTGCGACTCTGTTGGCAGTATATCCACGACAGGGCATGCTCCTCATTGGTCGAATTCGCGAGTAACATTTTGCTGGTTGCTGGAAATCTTTGTGAACGGTATAGCGCAATGGTGTGCCGTGTTGTTACAATATTTATTTCAAATCCTGGCATACGTATGCTTTTTGCAAAATAATCGAAATATTCAACGACTCCGACTGCATGGCTGTTCATAAGCTCAGCTACTTGTCCACCACTAAGGTCATTTCAAGGCCACCCCTAATAATCCCACAGATCAAGGTCACTCGTGTCTCGTGTAAACCCTGCTTTCTGGCATATTTTAAAGGATTGTCAGCGATCACGCAGGAGTGAAGCCTATCTACTGATCTCATGTTGTCGATGAATTATCCCTGTTGCATCGATTACTCCTATCAGTTGCCCGTCATCCGCCACACTTGGCTGATGTGACGCCAATAAACGGCGTTCACCCACTGTCGCTGTCTCGCTTCCCTTCTCGGGTTCTTAAGGGCTGTTAACAAGAGGGTTGAAAGATGGTGTAGTGGAAGATGGGGCTAGGATTAGACGTGGGGTTTGTGCATTGGCCTCCCGAGCATATGCTTCCGGTTAGGGGGAGAAATTTAACGCACTCGCCTTTTCCCTAGACCCACGCTGTGGACGTGTTTGCGTTCGGCCTGGTGGCCTACTTCATACTCTCCTGCGGACAGCACCCCTTCCTCGACGACGCGGAATGGCGGAAATCGACAGCCTCGCAGTGTCTCCGTGATCTCTACACCTCCATGGTAACCCTGCAGACAATTCAGAGGGCAATCAACGATCACCAGCAGCCCTGCGTGAATGAGCTGGTGGGCTGTGTGAAAAATGCCGCCGACGGGGCAGATGAGAAACCGGACAAAATGAGGGGTAAATCGTAGTCTTGGTTAACATAGCCCTATGTCTTTGTTGTCGTCCCTTCCGGCGGTGTGATTGTTGCCTGTGTTGGGGCTAAATTAACTAGTGGTTGTGGCCTTAGATTAGGTTCTACTATCTAATTTCCCTCCCCACCCCACAGAGGAGCACTCATTCGTAAAAATCGCGCGGTGTCAAGGATAATGTGTAAGGCCTTTTGAATGCGCATTTTGCTTTCTGTTTAAGGTTACTTGGCACAGCAGATGATTGAAGAGTCCATGGCCTTCACTCCATCGGACCGTTGTCCCATTCAGTTCCTGGCAGCATCGCCGCTGTTCTGGTCCGCGGAGGACATTCTTGCCTTCTACACGGTGCGTTTCTATGCCAACATTACACCTCTACTCACCTCTTAAAGCCCTTGTCTGGAGAAGCGGTCGCTTTGCTGACTTTTGTTTGCATCAATTTTTACAAACTCCAGTGGAATGCAAGTACTGACTTGCGTTCTATGTGTAGCTTTTTAAACGTTATCTAGTAAGACCAGGGGACTATCGTTGTTAGATTCGCGAAACACAAATCGGTTGCCCAAAGATCCACTTCAGTGTGCTCTTGACGTGTTCAGAAGCACAAGCGGCTGTAGCCAATTTCACTTTCCCTTGTAATATCAAGTGACTTGGGTTTCGTAGAGTTACGTGGACTGTGAACAAACCCGCTCTACCTAACTGCTATCAGACGTACGTGCCACAACCAGGCCGATTTCAATCTACCTTGCAGTGAATTCACTGTTGTGGGCCCCAGCATGTGGTCTTGAACCACGCCGGGCCACGGAATTTCCCTAATATCCGCGATGAAGAAAAAGACTGGAGAGGACGCGGACACAACCGTTTACTTCAGAGCTCAACCACGTTGGTGTCGTGTGGGGTTTGCGAGTGTGTACTTATACCTCGGGTGTGTGAGTCGCAGATGCGCTAACATCTAGACCTAGGTGTGAGGATAATCTAAATATCAGTGTGAATGAGGGGGGAGTTGAGGATCCGCGCGGCAGGCGACATGCTGCGAAGAAGGGGAACCCTGTGTGGGAGACGGAGCGACCGGATTAAGGGGTGTGAATAAACACGATTCGCAACAGCGCCTCCACGAAAGAATGCTAGAAATGTTGGTGTCATTTATAGCAAATTTCTGCCTCCAAAAATTATACCGCACGCGTATTGTTTCACGTGAGTTTTGACCCAAACACCAGACGTTCCATTGCTGTTGTTTAGCAAGACGATATTCGTGGGAATCCTCTATCAACGTGGCTGTTTTCATTGACCTTTAATTAGCTTCACCAACACTCCAGCAGTGAATCGGAAGTCGTGATCCACCACAGTTGAGGTTGCCCCACCGATAGCTGTTTTTCGCTGTCCCATTTTAGGAGGTTTCCAACTTCATTGACGAAGCCAAGCCGATAAAGTTTTCATCGGCCTCGTCGTCTTCCGCCAACTTGACCAACGGGCGTCCGAGGCATATCGTGTTTTCGCGATCAGCTGATCGATTGCCCGAGCAGACCTGGGATCCTTTCAGGCACAAACGCCACAACCTGCTAGCCTCATTAGATCGCTACTCTAGTCGGGTGTTTTCGTCATCGTGGCTGCGACATTTGGACGTTATCATTGTGGAGGATTTGCAGGCTGTTCGATCGTACCAGGTAGGTCGTCTGTTTTGTGGTCGGGCTTGGTTCCCTTCTCCGTGACCTACTGTCACCCCCTAGACACAGAACTGAGGATACCCAGCCTGTTTGCTATTAATAATAATCTGCAAACGTCTTTACTTACATAGCAACACAGGTTGTTTGGATAAACGTAACCCCCTAACAACGAGATTGAGGTTTTGTATAAGCTTAACCCATCCTTGTTGCCAGCGTGATTCGATTTAGGGACTGGAGGGGCCGTGAAGGGGAACCGTTTTTTACATAGCATTGACAAATCCCCTACAGTGGAGGCACCGCCCAATATAAAACACCCCTTTGGCGATCTTCTTCAAGACTGCTATACCTTGATTTTCTATCGTCTTGGTGGATGTTGCCTTCCCTCTATAGGACACATATTCGCCTCTATCCCCGGCATCGTGTTTCGGAGGAAAACCACTACTTAGTAAACCCAGTAGCAACCTTCTTGAGCTGTCGTTACTCTCGCCAACTAGTTCACAAATGTTCGTTGATCCAAACAGCATGGAGCAGTAGCGGTTGGGAATAGAACTGGCTAAAGTGCACCAAGAAGACTGCTTTTTTAGTGTGTGTAGAAAAGTCGCGTAGGATGTGAAAGGCTTGTTCGATTTCACATGAACAGGGTTATACTAGGCCTACACCACAAGATCACGACCAAAAGCACTTTACCGTGTCTGACACTACAGTTGAAGAGAGGACTAATGTCGGGATTACGCGTCTTGCATACGTGAAAAAGCACTTGGAGGGCAGGGCAATGAAGCTACACAGCACTACCGTTGAAAATCTTAGCTTTTTCAACTGAAAGAAAGCCAATTCGAGGAAGAATATGCCTTGAGGGCTTGGCAGGGTATATGCCAAAACGCGTTGGTATCGCGCGTATTTAGAAGTGGTTAAGGGAGCCAGAAGTGTCTCCCAGTTTTACCCATGTCCTCTCCTCGCCTCATTTGCACACTTGTTGTGTTCGGTTCTAGGACAAATCCCTGTCTCACCTGCTTCGCGCCATAAGGAACAAGCGGAACCACGTGTGGACACTGCCCGGTGCCGTTCGGGGCGTGCTAGGGGAGAGCGACGAGGCGATGGCGGAGTACTGGAACTCGCGCTTTCCCAGCCTCCTTCCGATCACCTACTGCCTGGCGCGGTGTTTCCTCTCTGAGGTGTCCCAATTCCAGCGCTTCCTGCCCGGTCCACTTACGGAGGCGATGGCCGACCAACTAATTTCCACCTACTGCCAACCGTCCTCGCCGGCCATGTGGGCGAGACTACCGGTGAGTGCTTGCGTGAAATGCCTTCTCGCTCCACACACACACACCATATCCGGACGTGGGAAACGCCAGCCCAACCTGCAGCTCTGTCATTGCAGAGCCACTTGCGCTGAAAAGCTAGCCATCGACCGACGTGCCCACAAGCACGATTGACATTGTCACGCCCTGTCCACCTCCAGGCAGAATTCCAACCCGTTTTGCGTTGAGGCGGGGTCAAAGTTCACATGTAGTCTGGTTTCCCTCACGAACGCCTTGAATGAGTAGTTTTGTGGTGTCACCGGTGGTAATCTCTACTAATTGGGTCTGATGTGCCCGAGTATTTACAAAATTTACCCATTACAAAATCTACCTGTGGGATATTGAAGGTACTTGTGCAAATCCCAGCCCAGTAAAAATACTGAAAACGACAGATATTCTGCATTTAGACACCCGAACATGGTTCACCGATCCAGGTGAGAACGACCGGAAAGAGGGTCGCAGCTGCGGACACAAATGCCTCATTGGTGAACGATGAAATCGGTGGTAAACAACCACTGGTGTCGATCGAGGAGAAGGAAGGTAAAGCTGACGCTACCGGTGACGACGACAACGAAGACAACGACGACGAGGCTGCCGACCCATTTATTGACCAAAGAACCAAGAAACGCAGGCGACGACGCAAGGCAAAGTCGCTCGGCGTCGGAAAAAACAACTTGACTTCTATGTGACTTTTTGCTGTCGGTATTTTGTATTGTGCAACATATTTTACACCCTCATTTTAGGCTTATCTGTGTGGTGGGGAAATACCAAGCTTCACGTCTGCGTATTGAGACGTGACCCTGTTGTGTGTGTGTGTGTGTGTGTCTGATCACACAGAGAGGAATTCTCGCTGGGATTGTCCTCAGTTGGGTGTCTATTCAGTAAGCATCATTAGTTAGCAGTTCACACTACGGTCGTCAAAATCCAGAGACACACATGCAGGCTGTTAAAGAAAGGCGAAGACATATCCATGCACAAAACACCAACCCAAGAATGTATTTTCTTCTTTTGAGCTTTAGGAAAAAACTGGTGGGCAGTCACAGACACGCACGCACGCGCGCGCGCGGCTGTGAAAACCCTGAAGAAGCATAAAATAAGACATCAAGTCAACGCCGAGTAGGCGGCAATCACAAACGGGGTGGGCCACATTCGCTGGGTCTTGGTTCCTCTCTCGTTAGGACATGAGTGGCTGGCCAGTTACTAAAAGCAAGCAGAAGTCAGCATTAGGCACGAGAGGCAGAACAGGTCCCGGAAGCCGTAAACTCGCACGTCTAACCGAATGTCTAAATCGACGAGCAACCAATGGTGCTGCTCACACACCTCGAAAGAAACTTATCAACGGGTTGTCACTGAACAGCAGAGGCGCGTTTCAATCTCGGTACAACTTGCTCAAAAGAACTGCATTCCAACAAATCGATACCGGTGCTAATTTGCTCAACACGACTAGTGCATAGGACCAGAAGTTGAAATGAGGCTGACTTCGTTACGCCAAGAGTCCGTTACACTTACACAGATCGGTAGGAGGCATTTGCACGGAAATCGGCGGCATCCCAGGGGGAGCGATATTGGTGGTGGGAATAAGCGGCACCATGGCAGGAGGCGAGTCACCGCTGACAGCTGGAGTGCCGAACACGGGGACGGGCTGCTGAAGAGGTGGTTGGGCCTGAGCTGGGGCTTGCTGGCTGTCCGTGAACTGCACCGGCACTGGAATCATTGCGGGCGGCTGCGGTGCGACTGTGGAAGGTGGTGATGGTGGTGGTGGAGGAGCCACGCTAGGTGCGACTGTGGTTGTCGAGTAAGGGTCCACCTGAACCGCATTGGTCGAGTACGGCAGAACGAGGGGAGGCGGTGTGGTCGGAGGGGTCAGGTTGATGCCCTCGAACAAGCTGGCAGGTAGCGGAGCGGGTGGAGGTATGGTAACAGGCATTGGTGGCTGAGGCAGCTGATACGTCGGCGGTACTTGTTCTACCGTCCCGGTGAACTAAAACGATGGAGGCGATAAGGAAGTGTCGGGCGCTTCTGCATTGAACTGACGCAACTACGTGTGGAAATTCGACCGCCTACCACAATGTTGCTTCAGTGAGTACAAAAATGCAATTCCAAGAGTCTGAGCTGAGCTTCCAGCGTCAACGCACTAAACAGAGATGCCCGAGGTTGAACAATTTCTTGAAACTTCCGCCATTTTCCACATTGTTGTGCCAATTCGGAACACGAAACCAGCGTTCTACGTATACGTCAAGACACCTATTCCCTGTCCACGAAAACCGTGTTTCTGGTTGTCTACGACCGAAATCCCAAAGTCAAATAGACCGGAAATAACGAAGGGTGATTGGAAGGACTTTAGACTCACGTTTTGCTGAGGCTGCATAGCATTCAGCTGATTGTAATTAGGTTGAAGTGGCTGTGGTTGCGCAGTGGGCGCAGCAGCGAATGACGGGGGACTTGGTGGGGACGGGGCCGGGGCAAGGGCCGTGGCCGCACCGACTGCGTCCGCATTTCTGCTCTCAGGAGGCGGGATCCGGTGAAGGTAGCCGAAGCCGATTTCGCATCCGAGCACGCCATCGCCGCCCCAGCAGAGGTTGGGAATGAGTGTGACCTCGCGGCAACTGTCCGTCGTCGAATTGTACACGTACAGGCGAAGTGGCTGGCCGTTGTGGGCCTCAACCACCGAAAAAAAGTCCTCTGACTGCAATAGAAAGCGCGCGTGTGTGTGTGTGCTTTGTAATCTAGCGATTTAAAGGCGGGGGGTGGCAAAAAGGAACGCCAAACACGGGACGGTTAATTTGGGTAAAGGGCTTGCGTTACTGTACGATAAAGCGCTGGCGAAGGAACGACGAAACGCGATACCACAGCACAACGATTTGGTAGGAACCCAAACTGGTCGATTTAATGCACAATCTCGAAGTCAATTTAATAAACTTCGCATTCTTTGGAGGTGTGGGAAACTAAGCGGCACCATTCATTTACAAATGGCCTTATCTTCTCCTGAGCAAATGTGGCATAAAATCTGGGAAATAATAGCGGCGCGGAAGGCTTACGCATCCCAAAATCAGATGCGGTAAATATTGGTTGACACGAAAACTAAACTGCTCATATGAGAGCCACCCACAATTGGTAGTGTAACTTTACCTCTAAAATGAATAATCACTGCCATTTTTTGCCCGGAGGTTAATCGCTGCTACAAAACCAACAAGCCTATCCAATTTACTGCTTCGTGTGAAGTAGTTTGAATCCGGCATTGCAAGGAAGAAAGCCACACCGTGGAAAGGACGCGTAAGAGATAGATGATGCTTTGCGAGTTACAACAAGGCAATGATGGCGCACGTACCAACAATTCTGCATGGCTGGGTCACTGAATACTATTAGGCAATCTACATACAAAAAACAATGAGTAACAATCGGACGACAGACATTAGCCTTCGCTAAAAAAAGTTTTACTATGAACACGGTTTTGAATCTTAAAAAACCACGAACGGTGATTATTACTGTGCTCCACATTACTATTCCTAAAAACACCTCGTAGATAGAATGATCAAAGTAGACGCCAGAACTACTCAAGGAAAAATCGACGATGACGATTCAGAAGTTCTGGCTCCAGGCCTATATCTGCCGAATTACCACTTTTGTCATCGTGAGGAAAGGTCTCCCAACGTGGAGGCCATCAAAAAGGAGGCGTGAACACGCATAAAATTAAACGCTAATTAGAACACAATCAGCACGAGCACCAAAAACAACACATTACGCTACGAACACCACTGATTTCCTTCCAAGAAGGCAGACGTGTCGGAGGCAATGAGGCTTTCGATTAGGCTATAAGGCACTCATGATGCCCGAATCGACATTACTCAGAGAATTTGTCGTGCAAACAGAACCCAGAGATGCAGGGTAAACGTTAATTTTTGCCGCCTCTGAGGGAAGCACTCACATCGTTCAGCAGGGCGTCGGTTCCAATGATGTAGTCCGTGTAGGGTTGGAGGCCAGCCATGGCAGCTGGCGAGCCCGGCGAGACTTCGAGCACGTGCCAGACGTTTTCGGCGGCCCCCTTGAAAGAGCAGTAGCGGATGCTGAGCCCAAGGAGGCCCTGGCCCCCCCAGTCGGAGCTGGGCGTGAGTGTCAGCTCGCGGAACTGCTGCGTCTTCGAGGAGTACACCGTCAGACGCATCGGTGTGTCCTTGTACTTGGCCAGCACATCCTTGATGCTCTCGTTGTCCTGCTCCTGAAACGAGGAAACCTCTAACATCGACACACACTAACCGTACACAAAAGAATGCGCATTTGAAGCATTGATGATAAATTCTGTTTTACAGAGTACCTGTCCAAACAAAAGCGACAATCAGGGCCCTCAGTTCACCCACATTTCGTCGTGGTCGAGTCCAGTTACTGTGGGCATAGCCATCCAAGTATTAGCCGCTAACACACATAAGTGGTGTTTGACCAATTAGAATGTAGCAATTGACTTATTAAACGGATCGATTGCGTTAGAAGAGGACGGTTTAAATAATAGCAAAGAAAATTACCACGAATAATTGGAGGAAATTTTGTTATCACAAAAGACTTTACAAAGTCCATCAATCTCCCTTTGATGTTCGACTAAAGATGTAATGTTAGACTTGAAAAAAAAGTTTACACAATCATTGACAGTAATGTGTCAGTATTAGTAATAGTAAACCGCATTACTTGACATCCAAACTCTGATTGCTTAACAACCTCCATCGGCTCATATTCCTCCCACGCACATTTAAGACATACACAAATAAACGAACTTGTAGGCACAATGACACAAATACGGACAAAAAGTACAGCTGGGCTGAGTCATCTACTGAAGAGTTGTTTCCTTCGTGTCTGATCAAAAAAAGGTACTCACAAAAGCGAAAGACTCAGGCAATTCAAATAGGCTAATTTTAAATGTATTTAACCGCCACATGCACGACCAGCCCTGATTACGGGACAACATGGGCGCGACCCCAAAGAAATCCAATTGCTGCTAAAGACGCGTTAACTGATTACCGCTGATTCAGTATAAGTAGCTGTTTGAAGAGAACTCCTTTTAGCCTACCTTGGATCCAAGAAATACTAAAGTGATTTGATCAATCGAAATTCCTTTCACGGTAGTTCACCCGATACGCGATCAAAGTTGATCCAAGCGCAAACATTTCAGGTAGTCTAGCAAAACACAATGGCAGAATTCCATCCAAGCGACCGATGGCACAAGCATCTGTCACTGAAAGAATCGAAGTGAGTAGAGCTAAACCTCTCCATACGATGTCACTTTGGTGGTTGGAGGCGCCAATGTTTTTAACCAGACGAAGTGGCTACTCAAGTTGATCCTTTGGCACTCTTAATTGCTTCCGCTGAAAGAATTTATTGGGCCAAACAGCCGACGCCACCTATCCGAAAGTCCGTCGTTTCTCACCATCTCGGCAGGTGAGCGCAATTCACAGCACGAAATACCTTGTGTGTTCCCAGGGCTCAACCACTGACGACCCTTACGGATTCGTAAAAGACTAGTACTGATTAGATTTTTCGCAGGAAATAGGGATCCGTAAAAATCATTACTATGCCTAACCGATAAGCCACTTTGGAAAGCGCACCAAATCAAAGCGCTGTGATCGACTCTAAATCTAAGAATAACCCCAGCAGTGAACTTAAGGCTGTTTAAACTGTCACCGAAGGGGCAGCGAATCTCATTTGCAGAAACGCAAGGTCTAATATAAAGAAAATTAAATTAACAGTGCCTCGGTAAGCTACTATAGTGATTAGATTAATGTTTATTCGAAATTCGAAACAACTATGTTAAACACTTGATTCTCCCAAACAGGTATGATTTTCTGAGAAAGAACAAAATTTCCTGGACATTTATCTGCAACAGAGATGCAAAAGAGGGCCGGATTGAAAAAAACCGCAATGAGACAACGAAAGTACGCACACGCCACCAACATCAAATGTTTAACACACCTCAAACAGGTCGGATCTGCATAATTACATATATCTTAAACGTATGTCTTAAACATGATGTATACGAATAAACTACTCATCTATGAATCCTCTAGCGTCATCTGACGAGAGGTCACTTTGTCAGTAAGTCTAATGGAAATTATAAACAGCGACCATATAAGGAACTCGAAATTAACGACCGTCTTCAGCGAAAATACGGAAATTTAAGGAGGAAGAACACGCGCCAAACAACCAGGAACCCATAAACAAGACAGAACCCATTAAAATGATAAACCGCTTTTGTAATGAGCCAAAGCGGTTGACTGCGAAAATTGTCCCATCAAGACGTGACCAACAACGAACGAATATCTAACTGATTGCAATAGTTTTCAAGCGTGCGCGAACGGAACCTAGCCTAATTGTAAATGAAAAAAAATTGACAATTGGATTACTAATCGAACATACCTTCCCACATACCATACTTTCTTGTGTTTAGTCACGTAAAATAACTTTGGTTAAGTTAGGAGAAAGTGTTCCAGCTTCAGCGTGGGACAAGAATTTATAACTTTGATTCAGGAGCATAAATACATGCTTGGCTGCATATTTTCATATATGAAGCCACTAAAAGCACTTCAAAGGTAATAAGTTGTGACATATTTAAGGCAAGAAAACAAAATTTAACAAAACTTCGTAACGTACTAATCTTACATCCCCAACCGAAACGATGAAATCGAAAAAAGCTTCCAACCCCGCTTTTTGGCCCGGTGATCCATCCTGGACCTAATTATATAATTTCAACAATTATTAAATAGAAATATACCTTTAATATATGATAGCCAGCTGTACTACTATCAAGACTGCTGGACGCCGACCCCATTCTCCAAAGTTACAACGTACAGAGGTTTCAAATAAAGCGCAAACTAGAGCGCAATTCAAACAGTTAAGGAAGCTTGATTCATAATTTGTTTCTGAATATTTAGTATTTAATGTTATTAAATTATCGATTTTACAAAAATCAAATGTGTTTTTCTTAAGTATCTTGTCAACGATAGCAGATGAGTAGAATTAAATGCTGCCAGAATTCCTATCACCAGTGATGCGGGGCTTTAAGTTGTGCGACCATTCGGGTGTTATTAGCATAAGTTAAGATTCGGGTGGCACAATACTGCATAATTTAGTGCACCCCCAATTATCTATTGATACGGGAATCCTTCTGTAAAAAAAAAAAGAATATCTGGCATTAAATATAAGAAATTGAAAACATTTCAGAATGAAGCATTTAGTTTAGATAGAGTTATTATATTTTGTAAGCTTGATGACGATTTTCTCGGAATGCATCTTCAAATATGTTTCCTGGGCCATAAAGTTTAAAAAACAGGAAGGAGTCTATTTATGCCTCAGTTCTAGCACTTTGCTGGATACTCAATAAAAACGACGGTGCTAAACGCTTTTTTAATTTTGGTTACCAAAAGGTTTGATCGACGAATTAACAAAACTCAATTTTTTGAACGGTCAGTAAAAATATTTGATCGAAGACCAGACAGGAAGCAGATCAGAGTAAAAAATATTTAATTTGCATGTGTTACTCACTAAAACTTAGTGGGAATACAGATGGAAATATTTTGCCGGAATTGCAAATTTTTTGCTGCATAAAAGATCATGAAGCAGATGTTAACAATTTTCCAGGTAAAAAGCACAACTGTTTCAGCTTTGTAAAGTCACTCTGTTATTTTTCTACAGTAAATGGGTTGTTTAGCTGCCTAAAAATTACTAATAAAGAAACACTTTCATCTTGGGCTAACCCTTGCCACATTTCATGTGTTTAAAATTACCCTATTATTTTCGCGGCCAGAACAGATTTTTGCTGCCTCGTTTTTTAAGGATGAATCGGGGTGGTCGGTCTAACAAGGCGATTGTACAGCCCATTGTAAGAAATCAGTTTTTTTTACGACTTTGATTTAGACAGTCATTTTTGGTTTTATGCAAACGGTACTATTATTTGGAGGTAATCTAAAGTTTTAGAAAACTCCTGTCCAAATATGGTTATACGAACAGAGTAATTTGAGAATTGAAGGCCGAATCGTTGGATTCGATGAGTACATGAACCTTGTACTGGTGGAAGCCTGTGAAAGACATATGAAGTCGGGCGCTAAAAAAATGATTGGTATTTTTAATGAGTATTTAATGCGTATCTTCTAGGTCGAATTCTCCTAAAGGGTGAAACCATCACATTGATACAGAAACTTCCTCAGTAACCTCTCATGTTGCATTTCTTTTTTACCTAAAATGTTCGTATATATAAACGTCTTGTATGCCATTAAAGATTCTCGCTTCTAATGGGGTGTTATTCCTTTTAGTCAGTTTATTTTTGGTTAGTAGTTCTAATATGCGCTTTTTTGCTTTAGTTTGCAAAATAAGTACTCCTGGTTGTGGTCTACCTAGTTTTAATTTATAGTCACTAACTAACAATACTCCGTGCACACAATCACGGCGCAGATGTACACAGGAAACGCTTTTTTCTCGTAAACCTGGCTGAATTTTGCAGTTTTACCCGTCCTATTACTGCGATGTGTGGCTCGTTCGTTTGTCGATCATCTCTAAGGAATCGGAGGCTTTCTACTTCTTTAAGTGTGGTTTATTTTGTTGGTGTTAGCTTATTGATACGACTTTTTCGTAGCACCTGTGTCGCTAAGTTTGTATCGTGGCGCAATCGCGTTATGCCTCGAGTGTTGATTTCATTAACTGAGTTTTCACTGGCTTCTTGTGCCCACTAATGCTTAGCAGTATCGTTCACCGTATTCACATCTGATGTCGTTTTGTTGGCTTAGCGAAAAACGAAGCGCGGTTAGTTTTCGTACATTCATTTATTCGAAGGTGGTGTTGATAAATTGGATTGAATTGCCTTTAAAACGTTGGCGGAAGGGAATATTAATGCATTTGTTTTCTTGCCTTATTTTGGTCAGACATCACGAAACATGGTTTTCTTTGGCCAATGCGAAATTCTAGTAACTGGTGCCCAAAAGGTAGGAACTTGTAGCAACATGCGTGTTGTAACGGCCTTACTGTTACAATTGCTTGTTAGAACTTGTTATCGCAGTTAGTTTCTCCCAATCTGTCGCATCGGGTTGTTAAACTACTATCCTGTCGGTCCATCTTACCTTATGACAAGATAACTTTATTCACGTATTGATGCATGGCGAGGCCTTGCAGGTTGCTTGAGGCGTTCTACGCGCTGAAAGGTAACGACGATTGCCGTAAGTTCCTGATAGTGCAGCCTACCAATCCGCTGTCCATGTGTACTGATGAAAATTATTTTAGTCGTATGTCCGAGATCACCTCGCGAGCAGCATTGTAGATTGTTGGCATGCATTCGGTTGGATGCGGCTCGTCACGACAAGCCTAAGCAGGCTGACGCGAATCGTCTTTCGTGGTACGTAGTTTTAGTTCACCATTGGTCAAGAAACTTTCCAACAATTGCAACGTCCATGCGTCGTGAATGCATCCATGTAAATTGAGCGACTGGTGATAGCCGCTATCATAATTGTAATGATGCTGCTGGGATATTCGTATCTCTTCAATTAGGATTCTTAACCGTATTTCTGTACTAATGGAAGTTTCAAACTGGACTTTTCGTTGATCTTGACCATTAAAAATTCCTTAACACGAAAATTGGGGTTTTATTCACAATGCAACGTGTAGGGACTGTGGAATTATCACTGATAACGGTGTCGATGGTTGCAAACTGGACTTCGTTCGATGGCGCGATTCTATTGCGCGTGTCTCTGGTGCAACAACTCCCAAAAATCGTTCCTACTTAATTAACAAAACTAGGATGCATTACTTTTTTTGTACGCATTATCGAGTTCAAGCTGACTGTGCAACCAGCTTTTTCATCCATCAAGAAGTATACAAGAAAATCGGATTAATGTGGCATTCGCCCGATCCCACGAAGCCAATCCAAGCAAAAATGTTGAGTTCTTTTACCTGTTGAATTATCAATAACGTCTACTTCGTTCATTTTCCAGCTATTAAAAACCAGTGGAGTAGGTCTAGGTGTCATACGGTTGGTCCACGGAAACTATTCTTTGCCAGCGCATTCTTTGGTCAAGTGGAATAACTAGTCGACTCAACACTTGGCTTTTCATAAAAATCACTTCCCACAATACGCCACTCGTCATCGAGCTTGTGGGGCTTTGAATGATGGTTATGTCCGTTTGTGTTGATGACACAGCACTAGGCGACAGCCAAGCTGCTACCATGCAGACACAGTCGTGCTTGATGGCACTGAAAAGGGGCTTACGTAGCCACATATTTTGTCCCTACTAATGGCACGAATAGGAGGAGCGTTAACGACTGCAGACTATACACTACGTCGACATTCCGGAAATGGTGGGTTGAATTCGTGAACATCCCATGATCGGCGTCTGTTTAATTTGAGAGTTGAGTTGTGAAGACTGTGCATCCAACTCCAAAAATGTTTGTCTACGAGGTCCGGGTGGCCATTATTTGAAAGTCCGTACATGAGGTAGCACTCTGAATATCCAAATTCACCAATTCAACATCAGTCAAGAGAGATGTGCACTACCCTCGTTATTTCTCACGCATCCTAGCAGGGCTGAACGGTGAATTCGTCCTTCGGGGGTCCGCCTACTTCTGATCCAAATTCATCGATCGATAATTAGGGGAACGGTGAGCAACCCGCCACGCCCAAATTTTGAAGGGTATCACAGACAGCAAACTTCTGATTTTGGGTGGTCGACGTTGTAATGGCAGCCGCCCGAATCAGTCGATTTAACACCCTCCGGGTGTCAGTTATATGACATAATTTTTGCAGATTTTTTAGCAAATTTATTTAGTACACACAAAATAGAAAATATTGTCCATTGCTGGATTGATCGGAACAAATGCTAGTCGGATTTGGCCAAGTATGGTGAGCATGCCGCGCGTGGGAGAACTTCCCATCCCAAGTTCAAGAGGGTCTTCTGAGTCGCACAAGCAGCGTGAGGTGGCCAAGCGGTGTCATGCAGCAACAGTATGACCTGCTTGCTCCCCTGCCCAGTAAATGGCCTTTTCTGGTTATGTTCTTCCCTCAGTTTGCTTAATTGCCGACTGCAGCGTTCCGTAGTCACCGTCCGACCAGTTTCCAGGAGTTCGTAATAAAGTACACCCTTCATGGGCTAACAGGTACACAGGAGAATTTTCTTCAAGTGGATGTGCTGTTTCGGCGTCGATGTACTGGATTATGTAGGATCTACCCACGACTTTTTACGATTGGGACTTTCGTAAAAAGTGACTTTTTATTACACATCACAATTTTCCATAAGAGGTCCGAACCCGTAGAAATAGCTGTTTGAGTGACTCCTAGCTGAGATGCTGCAAGCTTCGTTTGCGTTGTTTCCGTGCAGCAGAGCTTGTGATTCCACATCTCCGAACCTTCGAGGCTGTCCGAGGCGCGGCTGGTCATTAACATCGATGCCACCACCTCTAAAATGTTTGTGCACGTTTCACGCGACACGACCTCGGCACCAATAATACTACGAATTGATTCCCGTGCTTCGGAAGCCTTTTTTTTCTTTTCTAGAATCCGTACTGAAATGAAGTGTCGAATGTGCTGTTTATCTGTAGCAATCATAAACTGCTATTCCGAGAGGTTATGCAACTCACGTAGACTTGCCGCTCGGTGTTCTGAAACCGCAAAACGCCCGGGAAAGTATTTCCATTTCAGGCATGACTTTCAACTCAAAGAATAAATCTCAAAAATTGTTACACGCACACAATGGCCTGAAATGGTTTGAGATCGAACAGACTCTAAGCAAGACTGTGAACGGTACGCCAACCCGCCTATCCCTCCGGGGGGGACCGAAGTGGTTGATTGGTCATATTTCATAGAATCGACCAGTGTCGCTGTGCATGGCCACGCCACAACCTCCAACGAGTGGATCTAACAAGCCCTTCGGAATTAGCTTTCTTGACGAAAAACACTCAGATCTGAACAGAGGCAATATCAGATCGACTGATTATTCCCAACACGTTTTCCGAATGCAAGTGAAATAGAATAGCGTCTCGCACTTTGCCTTTTAAGCAAACTGAGAATACCTGTTCCTCGATAACAGCAACCCCAAGAATTAATATGGCGACGACGATCCACCACAGAACACCAATGTGCAGCCACACCCAAACTATCTTAGAACACACATGCACTTTCAAGTTGCATTCCAACAACGCTGCCACGAGTACCGTCGATAAGTGCTCATTCGGTGACTGATGCTGCCTGCCTGAAACCACTGCGAAGCAACAATCGTCATTCGACAAGAAAGTAAGACAAAACTTAATGTGATAAAACTAATTTTTCGGAACAAATGAAGGCATTTTAAGTACATTCACGTGTGGTTCGTTACGAAAAAGAGCAGCGACGCTACGGGGCAATGATGATGTGAGCGAGAGCGAGCGAGAATTCGACAAGAACGTGTTGAGAGTCTTGAGCTAGCGAGTTGACATCAGATGTGCCAGATGCAGCCCGGGGTGATGGTGCCGGAGACGTCCACCTTGACGCCGCCCTGAAGGTTCGCGCACAAGAAGCCCGGCTGCGTGTGACCGCCCAGCGGAAGGACGGAGCGAAACAGGGCGTGTTTGTCGCAGGCCATGCAAATGGCGAACTCCGTGCCGGCGTTGTCTCCGCCCGCGCCTCCCTCCTCGGGTCCTGTCGTGCTCGGCACCAGTGTCACGTTGCCCTGGCTCGTGGCGTTTAAGATGAACCAACGTTCATTTTGCTCTGCGGAGGGAGTATTAAACACAAAGCTACACACGACTGCTGATGAGGCGGAAATGCGAGAGGCAGTCTTAACAATGAACTGAGGAGTTATTGTTCATAGCAAAGGACCAGTAACAGCCTGGCATAGATTAGCGAATCCTCGCTATCAAACTTTACTTCCACGGCAAGTTCCGGACACGAAACGGGTCTTTGTGTCTGGCAGAATGCTCGTTTTACGTCCACTGTGAACGAGGATGAGATTTCGCCAGGTTGGAAGGGGATTTGTTATGCGATTCGAGGGCGCTACAGACAGCACTTGGTAAACAATACAATGACTTCAGAAGCCTGAAGATTACAAAGCCGCCACTCCATTTGACATCAACCAAGGCAAAGCGAAGCTTTGAACGCCCAACTCCACCTTGTCTTAGAAAATATGCTTGAACATGTTAAGTGTAGTCAGCTTAATTGCAATCGAGACATTGGAAATTAATTTAGAGAACCGACAAACAAAAATTTTTTTTACAAAGACTGTTCAATTTGAAGGAGGATGTAGCTCACTTGCGAACAGCTGGACGGTTCCCGCAACGAGATGACGAAGGAACCACTGCTCGGGGTTGGTGTTGGCACAGTCGGCACCACATTCGCCACCGGTCCTGCGTCCAATGGCCGGAGCCAAAAAGCCGCAGGCCAGGATGGAGTAGCAGGCGATGGAGGTGCGGTTCACCAGGGTGACCATGTGCAGCACCTCCGCAGGCACGGGTTTCCACGCCGCGTCAATGGGCCGCTCACTCACGCCAATGGCGCCCAGCGTCTTCGCGCACACCGGCATGCCTTCGGGGGTGCGCAGAACGATGCCCCCGGCGTTGTTGCGGTGCGGTTTTCCCTCCCCAGCCGCCTGCTCTTCGTAGCTCGACACGTAGAGAATATCGAAGGTGGTGTGCTCGGTGCTGAAAGTGCAAACTGCCTGTAAGCCAATGCTTCAATGAAATTGTCAAGGACTGAAAACTGTAAATCACACAGTTGACCGGGGAGGCTTCAAGCACTAAGGTGACACCTTATTGGCCCAATTTTCTCCCAAGGTGCGAACTTACCTGAGTGTCCACGACCGCTCAACGAACACGTGTAGAATCAGTCAGGTGACGAGTGGCAACGTTGAAGAACTCAATAATGGAGACTGGGCGATTGAACCTAGCTACGTCTTGAGGCGAACAACTCAGCATTTCCATCCGACACGGTGCCAGCGCACAATTGTAAACCTGAGTTCGAATTCGCTGTTGGATTCCTTCTTGGTCTCCTGCCTTGACAACCGACATTTGCTATGTCGGACAGCGCCGATAAGTTTCTTTACCAATAAAACCCAGGTTACAACGTTGTGGATCTTAAATAGTCAACACTACGTCTCGCACGAAGAGCCCGTTAAATGACGCACCGATGGCAAACTTCCCAACGGAAGATGAACGCCCACGAGAATTTGAAGTTACCGGTCAGCCTGAATGCGGGCAAGTCGGATGGCAACAAGTACTGGCGGCAACGCACACATTAAAATGACCACAAGCGTCTGGCTTGTCTTCGAGCAACTCTAGGTGTCTCAAATCAGACCGAAAATTTTCTCGTTCATCGACGCAAAGGGTTCGATTAAGTGGTAGAACATCCCAGACCCTGTAATAAAATCTTGGCGGTGATTGGGGATGAAGTCCATGCAGTGGCAGTTGAATGACAAACACACAGGTCGAAATCGAACACTCGATAATAAATTTTGGAACATTTACCAGACGTGTTGACGCATCGGTGGCAAAAACGAATCGAACAGATCGATGCGTCAAGACGAAAGTGGTGTATGTGGAGGGAGGCACAGTGACCGTACTCACCAGTCCTTAGGTGCGAGCTGCGCGCAGCCCGTTGGCGGAAGCTGCCACAGACGACCGTCCTGTGAGCGGAGACGCCACAGCCCCGACGTGATGTACGTCGCCGCGTCCTCGGATCCGTCGAAAGGGAAGGTGAGGGCGGCGCCGTCGGCCGCGGGCGTTGTGGTGGCGTTCGCGATGGCGCTCGTGTCGAGGCCGCGGCCGCCCACGTACTCCAGCTGGTAAATTGTGCTCTTGTGGTCCTCCGTCTCCTCCATGGTGGTGGAGAAGGTCAAACCTAGAGAGCAGGCCAAGTCCTTCAGACAAACGTCCACACCCAGTCGATTGTGCGTGCTCGTGACGCACCACCGCTACCCCGCTGGATTGTCCCAATTAGGGTCCAGAAGACTGTCTCGATACCACCTCACTCGGATTGTTCATTCGCAGACAGTTGCTCATGACTCAAGTTTTACGGTGGCAAAACCTCACCTTTTGACTTTTTCTCAAACTAAACGTCTCGTGTATAACTCACGCGCGTGACTCTAATCACAGTAAGACAAACATACGCCGATAACCAGCTGCGTAATTTCCTTTTCCACCACATTCTGAGCTTAACCCCTGCAGCCACGTCGAGTCCTTCATCGCAAGTGATTTTTCTGGAAAAGAATGCGATAAATTCGATCCCTCTTAATCATACATCACACGAAACCGCTTCTGTTTGTTGAATATTACGGAGACCGCATGGCTGGAGGTATCCGACCTCACATAGCATGGAAATAGAAGGTATTATTCTTGAAACTCCCCTATGTATTAAAGGCAGCTGATAGTAAGTTAAAATCTTATGGTAGGTGCACTGGTCATCAACACTTTATCCCATCAGCCCCCGCTGTGAAAGTACATTCGTGAATGTCATCGCTTATCTCCAAAGGTTACCCATCCTGGCCTACGCAAGATTCCTGTCGATGAAAATTACGAGTGGTCGCTTTCACAGTAACCTACAAAAATCTTGTGAGTGGCGAAAAGAACATTACTTAACCCAGCTGCGTCTCGAGGTTGCGTGTGAACAAAAATCTAGGAAAGCATTGGGCATCCGTGTGAAAGACAAATGCTGGTTTCGGCTGCAAAATTTTTAGCCAAGATAGCCTTATTGGTGTGAACAAAGGTTGTCTTAAACAAGCCTTGGATTGTTTTGCGACGATAAATCACTCGACTGAAATGACCTTTCGGTTGTGCACAAGGAAACGATTCGGCTCCTCGACCTCCACCATCTCGCCGTGCAAGCCAAATGCCGAGGTCTTTCACAGAAGTTTCCGAAAACTCAATTTTTAGCCGATTTAACAATCGACTGAAAATTCATCTGAGGTATTGACGACGAGTCGGCTCATTGAACATCAATTAATACGTGAGGCCCAGAGCGAACTCTCGCTGCGGTTCCTCGTTTTTGCCATGGAATAGAATTGATGGCTTCGCCCGCTTAATAATTATTCACCTCCTTGGCATCACCGGACTAGAGGCGTGTATTTAATGCCTTCCTCTGTCAATGACTCACGGCCTTCCCTCCGAACACAATGCGCAAGGTACAATGGGATCCTGCTACCACTGTGGTTTGCGTAGAAAACACAACACCACACCCCATGTAGATCCGACTTTTTACATACCATTTCGACACTCTAAACGCTGACTCACAGTCCATTATTTTGCGATAACGCCGCGATTTACTGGTGCAGCAACCAACCAGATTTCAACGGACTGAAATGCGTAGCGACAACAAGGCAGACACCCAGCGTATGCATGCGTTGGTCCTACCGTAAAGTTAAAATGCCAGCAAATGGTCTGGAATGAGAGAGAGAGGCAACGCTCGTGTCGTGCATTACCGTCATCAAGCATTCAAGAAAGACCTGAATACGATTGAGAAGTCAGGCCAATCAACGTGACTCATTTCCGCACACGAATGACTGGACAACCGCGCGGAAGTGGCAACTACAAAGCGATGAGTTTTCAAAACTGCCGCCTAAACCTCGCCAGAAAGTGGCAGACAGCCGAAAAGTTTTGCCTAAATGAACTTTCCCGATGGCTCAACATACAACACTGAATCCGGTCATGAACTGCTGAAAAGCGACTAATACCACCCCTTGTTAACTTTTGGACAGAAGTCAGGAGCTGTGAATCACTTGAACCGTTAGTTGGGCATTGAGCGAGCGTGGTGATGTGGTGTGTAGCCCTTGCCCCAAAACCTGGCCAATGGCATCAGCCACTAACTCACCATGCTTATTGCAAGCGAACTTGTTGTTGAATGCCCACAGACGGACGTGGATTGAGGGAGTTTCGATTGAAAAGAACTCCTCCCTGCGGGGTTCTTTTGAACCCACTTTGACCTTGAGAACACCGCCTCCACCGACAGTCAAGTAATCGCCATTCTCGTCCTGGAACAGAACCACTTGCGACGCATCTGAAGGAGGAAAAAATGACCGTGCAATATCGGAAGACTAAACAACCCATAGAGGAAACGCCGAGAACAAAAACGCGAACTTCCAGAACCTACCATCGTGATGGGTGCTAAAATTGTCAAAAAAGAAGGCAAGTTGGTAGGACAACGCCGACAAAAACTACAATCAGATGGTGTTTGGTAGGAGCGTGTCCACAAGCACAACTTTTGCCGATCATTACACTTACTCGGCTTGAAGCTAACAGAAAAGAGCGTGGCCTTGTCGATGCTGTCCGTGAGGGAGCCGTTGGCGCAGAGGAAGCGCCCGGACTGGGTGCGCAGGGCGACACGCGAAAGACGGGCGACGTCCTGCTTGGTGCACGCGGGCGCCGCAAGGCCGCGGGCCGACGGCAGTGGAAGCTGTTGCAGCCAGATGAGGAACTTGGGACTACAGGGCATCTTTGTCACGGCGCGCAGTTCACTGTCCTTCTTGGCGCTACGAATGAAGCACGAACGGTGAACGCTGCGGAGGTGAATCTAAATCCAGGGAAGAGAAAAGGAGAGGTTAAAGAGAGTGGCAGACTGTAGGTTCACGGCTTCTTCGCTGACTTGACACCTTCAGGGGAGCTAGCTCCTAGAAGGCATCCCAATGATGGCAGGGGCACTTTGCAAATGGCAGTAGAATTTATGCACAAAGCATTCCAACGACGCGGTGTCAGACGGAGACTAAGAGTAAGATCCTCTGTCATGGAACCTGATCGATTTGTCGACGTCTTTCTGGATGGTCTAAGAAAGAGAGACATTGCATACCAACTCGCAAATACTGAACTCCGTTTCAAGCCTATTACCAAACCACGGAGATGCTAAATAAGAGGAAGGAAGAGGCGCATAGCTGAGGATGGCTACAAAAAAAACTGATAAGGTAGCAAACGAATCGGGCAGAGCACACGAAAACAAACCAAAAGAAGCTGAGTTAACAGAAGATGGCCGCTGTCTCGGATTAGTTTGCCAGATGCAGAAAAGACTCAGATTTGTTTTGCTACGCACCACAAAACTCCAGAAATTTGAAAAAAAAAAGAACGGGCATTCTACCTAGCAATGATTTCATACCGCAACCGTACCACGTTAGACCAGTGTGTGGAATGAAGCGCTGGCACGTACCTGCGGATGCATAGCAAGTCGCATTCCCCACCAAACCGGCTCCTTGGAAAAACAGCGCATCTCCGTACCAGTCCACTGGAGGTAGAAGCCGTGTTTTTCTGACTGGAGAGCAATTTCACCCGAAGCATTCGGATCAAAGTGGATGAGAAAGCGCTCTTCGCAACCTTAGGGAAGGAAAAAAATCGAAGGTAGGTTAGTTAAGGCTTCATCGCTGTGAGAAGATATGCGCCACCACACATGTGGGCTAAAGAAATGCCGCTTCAAGTTGGAGTTTGTTGATGTGAACAAGGATAAGCTGGTAAGATTTATGGTAAGCACCTACTGGAACTTAATGACCGCTACCGGTACACACAAGGGTAATTTACCCGGTTCAGTGGTAACAAGGGTTACGTTGCCGTTGTTATCAGCACTCAGAAAGTTGCCCAGATGATTTTGCAGCAAGAAGGCGTCTGGTTTGTCGGGTTGTGTGTAGAGCGTCCAAACTTGCTTGCGCTTCAGCGAAACACCAGAGACGTTGAGTGAGCCCTGGAACGTCTCCGAGGTCAGCAGTCGACCGGAAGGGCTGTGGATCAGACCGATTTTCGTAAACTCAGCCAGATTGCGATGCCGACACCCGTTTTGCATGGCGAGGTCGTTTGATTTAATTATAACTGTAAGAAGCACGTGCAAAGATTAAAGTTGGAAGGAAATCCACATTAGCTCTTAAGCTGCAAGTTCAGTTCAATCAAATTAAAAACGGATAAAAGGATTATGGTTTTAGGCTTTGCCTGTGTTTGACGAGGCAAATGCTTCCCAGCAATCAACAGCACGCGTTTAAAATAATCGAGAAACTGAAATAATTGGCTTAATGCTACAACAATCCCCGACAATAAGCCCGTTGGCTGCTGGCAGGCTTGCTCATTGAAGAGGGACGACTGTCGAGTCATCTGGATTAGCAACAATGGATGCACCCTCAGGCAGAGAATTTTGCTGACTAACGCGAATCACACGTTAGCACCAGTTGCTACGTGACGTGAGGTGCAAACACACACAGGAAATCTTGTCTTACGAGTAGAAAATGAAGGGGGTTTGTTGGACAGACACCTCAATCATTAATGAATGCAATTACGCAAGGCAATTGGATCAATTTCAACTAAATCCGTAGCTGGTCGATTACGAAATCCTACACTAAGTCCACACACTCGAGAACAGATTTCTGATGAGTTTAACAGCATTGAATTGAACTGTGAGATAACAAAGATTCCAAGATGTCAACCAAATTACCGAATGCCATTCTCGCTACGTACTTCAGTGTATTAAGAACTCAGAATGAGTGAGTCACTTCACAGCAGTTAATGCGGAGTGTGGTGTTGCAAATGACACTGGTGTGCTCATTTCTCCGAAACATTCAGAAAAATGGAAATCTTTGAAGCTCTACCAGGGCATAACAGACGTTGTCGTCCAGAAAACGAATGGTAGCAAACAGCGATGCGAGATTTGAGGCATCCACGCCAACCGTGACAGTTTTGCGAGATGACGGAACCTGATCGTGGGCTTCGTTCGACTGTAACCCAATAAACACGCCATCACCTCGACATGAGTCATCCAACAGGCTGTCACTACTAATAGGGTGCCACGTTAGGGGAAGTTGGGCGCCAAATCACACGTGTGAAAGCCAGCAGAGATTGCGCCCTCCAAATATGGTGCGATTCCCGGGCTTGGAAGTGCCACTGGAGTTTGTGTAAGGTGACAATGCGATTGGGGTAAAGCACAGGCCCCTAACTACGGTTCCAGCGGTCAGCTACAGCAACCTAGGTCGACCAACAGAAGAAGTAGCATCGACATTCTAACTGGGCTAGTGAAGAATTTCGGATAAAAAGCTTATCATGTAGCCGAAAATTACAACCTCATGGACGTTGGTGCTCCTTACCTAGTTTTACCAAATGCCATCTTCGTAGCTACATTGTTTAAAAATAAATGACCCATATTTCCCCGAAGAAACCCTGCTTAAATAAGGTTTTAAAACGCACAACGTAATATAAATCCTTCCGCATTACCAAACCATAAATGGTAAAGCACGAACGCCTCAGTAAATGACTTTTGAAATGGATTTGGAAGAAAATTTGTCCATGGTGGTACTGTCAACGGATTTTTAGAAAAAGTGATTGCTTTAAACACCAATAATTTAAAATGGTAAACCAGAAAGATGCATCTTACATTACTTTTCGTAAAGAAGGCGACGCACCTGCCAGCCAACTCAGGAAGCGAGATAGTAAGGCCGGGTGACGGTTTTTCAGACTAAATGTCGGTCCGGTTAGCAACACTAGGACGCTAATTGGATAGCCAGCTAGGCTGGCTCCCTGCTCGAGCTCTTGATTGGCCGATGCGATAGCCAATAGGCAACGAAGTTGGGGTGGCGCTGCAGCTCACGCAGCACGTGCGTGCGTGTGCGCGCACACACAAACTTGGCAGTGAGCTTGTCGTCGTGGCCTGGACGACGTCGGGGCTTTGTTCCGGTGCTTTGTGTATCATGTGCGGTTTGTGGTGGTCTTTGTTTCCACGGCCACGCGCTTACGGATGCAGGCCAAAGTAATAGCTCTGCTTTCGGTTAAACTTTTGGCCAAAGTTCAAGGTTAGCTTGCTAATGAGATTAAAGCGCGGTTTAAGGAAACGAAGCTCTGTTTGGGAGTCAGAAGGCCTGCCTTCAGGCTTTTCTCCTAATTCATTATCAGAATTAACGTCTGCACTTATCATTTGATCATCACACTTCAAAAACCGGGCAGCAGCTTCTTCAGGGATGTTGTTCGAAAAGAATGCCTTGTCTTTGCACGACAGTATGGGACAATCATGTTTCCTCGTGAATGCCACTAAATTTGATTCAACAGATAAGACTATTTAAGTGACCAATTACACGAGGAGACAATTTAGATTGTTTCCACTGGTGGGAGGACGGTTGCACTGGCGTCGTCCCAAACGCTCCAGATCACCAAAAACGAGCACAATCACATCGTGACTGGATAGAACTCTGCGGTGTGTGAATGACGTGTTCGGTTTTCTGACTTCAGTTTAACATCTCAGTCACTGAGTTTCGCTCGAGGAGCGTCGAAATTACATCATCTTTGCGTGGAATTCATTTTGGCCAAATGGAAGACCATTGTCGAGGGATGTCCACAAAAGCAGATCCCGCAACAAACTCAAAAACATTGTATCTATCCCATAAGAAAGTGTTTAAACATAATTCGTTCCTTTCCTTGACGAGTCTCAAGGCGATAACTTCCAATTGGCTAAAATGCAACAGCTCAACTAAATTGTTCCGGCTTTCACCACAAGCCAAGATCTATTGGCGATTTGATTCCAATCACTGACAAGTGCGCCAGAGATGGCTGAGCTCTTCAACGAAGTAGCTCACCGGCCTGTGAGTTTACTTAAATCAGTTAGTGCAACACATTAGCTCTCCCGACGTTCGTAATCTGGAGACCTCTTCACCCCGGAACCCTCAAACCGTTCCGCCACTTGCTGCAGTGTTTAATCTCTTCGACCACCAAAATGCCCTAGGCCAATCAGACCTGCGTGGTTAGACCTAATCAGACATAACGTCTGCGTCATAGAAACTAATTTCGAACTTTTAGTTTGTCCCTGTTACGCGACCGAACAGTGGTTGTTTGAGCAGGAGGCACCTCTAGGCCGTCTTGACGCGTGAGCACTGCGGATGTGTGCGCCACCCAATCAACTGATTCGGGCTGCTTGTTTAACCACGTTTTGCTGTGCCGTTTCGTGCACGCCTCCTGCCGAGTGTCACATGAAAATACATTTCCGGCATCTTCAAACAGTCGTGACTCCAGTTTGATGTGACCGATTTGGTGGCTCAATGATCACCGCATTGTAGCCATTCGATTCGATTTGACATGTGATTTCTGTAGATTGGGCGGCCCAGTATACGTGAGATCAGGGTAGAGTCTAGTTTCCAGGCTAAACATGCCGAGTAGATATTCATTGGTTGTGCCACGTTGCCAGCTACTGGGACGCAAGTGAAATCTTCGGCTGAAGTTACTGCGTGCCCGCGATTGGTCAGTTTGCAAGTCGGACGATGACTGTTCTGGGGGTGCGTGAACTTCTTAACCAGCAACGCATCAGCGACTCAAATTATGAACCACGTAATGTTATGAAGTTTGCACAGTACAAATTTAAGGACGTGAGTTCAATACCATGGGTCACTGGTGTCTGAATATCCGGCATGGTTTCATGGAAATCCGATTTTTATCTTCATCAAATAAGCCTGATCTGACAATAAACTGTACATCCAATTCGTACAATCAAAATGAGAGCTTGGAAGAGGTGAGTAAAGTCCCACTGAGCCAGATTATTGAGCGGGTACATCCTCAGATGTGCCTTCACAATAGGACGCTCATTTACGGAAGTGATCGTCGGAATTCACATTCGGGGCGTCGCGGGTTCATGAGATTCTAGTTATTAAACCAAGTGGAATTTGTGCAGCGGCCTACTAAACTGCTGTGTTTGAGTTGCTCTATCCCAAGTTGGATGTCAATCTTACTTAAATCGAAACTGCGAGTGCCCGATAGGTACGTATAAACAATTTTTTTTACTTTTCTGTTTACAAGAGCCTGAAACACAAACATTTTCATCAAAGTGAACTTTACGCTGATTCACTGGATTTTCACACATCCGCAGATCTTGATGTTTTTTCCTTTTAAAAGGTCTCCTACTTCAGAGGATGTGGAGGGAGCACGGCTGTACAATTTCGGAGCACACTCTGATAGAAATCTGATTCAGTAGCATCGAGTGATGTGGCATTGTACAACCTAATGTTGGTAGCAAACCATGCTTAGTTGCCATGCATCCTACTTACATTTTATGTCGGTTGAACGCACACACCTGCCCAGGTGCAGTTACTGGCCATTTTCATCCAAATGCTAACCTTGCACTTTGTTTTCCGGAAAACCAAGGCCGTTTGATAGCCAGCCTCAGTTTACATCTCATTGTCTCCGCGTGTCTTCTGTTTACTGGTTGACTTCCGCATTGGACTGCTCTTGGTTTTACTTTTTTTTTAACTTTTTTAAATTTAATTGGAATAATTTAATTGATTAATATCGATCGCTGAACGAACATCGCGACGTGGAGTGCATTCAAGAAAATCGATCGAATCCGTGCTGGCTCATGCTTGCTTGCCGCGCACTTAAAATGCACTACCGAATTAGTGTTAGCTCTGCACCCTAATAATGTCCACGTAGGAAACCATAAGAGACTCCTTGTAAAAGTTCTTTTTTAACTTTTTTTTGTCAATTTGAGGTAATGTGGTGCAGGAGTCACCTATAGAACCACCAAGCTAACACCACAAGAAGCTGAATAACTTTACCTAAAAACAGAGTTGAAAATGAGTGGATGATAAACATCAATGGCATAAAGCAGCCGAACTTATAATCTGAACAGGGTCGGTAGTTAGCCATACAAACACAGTGATTAAATGACGTAAACTCGACTTGGAGAGGATTTCCCGAGTTAGGTTAGACCACAGGGCTACTTTTGGCAGCCTGATTCCTTTGGATGATACTAGAGGCCATGGAACATGTTTAAGTTCAAGTTTTAAATTGTGGAATATTCCAAACGAAATATTCTGAATTCTGTTTTACACAAAATCAGCCTATTTTTTT